TTTCATGCAGCCTTAAAATATCCATGACGTTAAGAAAATATTATTTCACTAAAGAAGAATATCATATGTAGTTTTTTTTTTCTTCTTTACGATGTATATTTTTATCATAAAACCGTCTTAATAGACTTTTGGAAGGTTTACTTTCATTAGTTTCAGGAAGTAATGCACATCGTGGGGTCTAATTGTGACTTAAGGGGAATAGTAACTGTTGCATACTGGGAACTTGTTTACAATTGAACAAGTCAGACAGATTAGCTGGATCTGCACCATTGGGTGGTGAATTGATACTTGACAAGGCAGATGTGGTCAAGGCCCTTTGGAAACAAGTAATGAAGTCAAAAAAGAAAATATATTATCATGGCCTGGAGGGAATGATACACCTGGGTGTGACCAGAGGGCATACACTACACTCGAGGAATGGCAAGGTGGACAAATAACCAGATTGCGTCCGGTACAATTAGTACTGGAACTCTGCACTGGCTGCTGAAGATGAGTACAGAGCACGCATGGGAATGCCTTAAGTCCTGTGATGTCAATTCTTGACTCAACTCAACTCAGCTAAAGATGAAACTTTATGAAAGGGGAAGTTGAAGGCAGCGATACAACTGCAAAAAGGGGGGGGGGCGGGTGATAATATCAAGAAATGGACCAACAGCAGTTTTGGAGAATGTATACTGAGAGCGTGTTGGATATCCATTACAGTCAACCTTCAATGTGAGACAACACTTGATTGATTGATTAAACTGATGTTACGGTTGCTCATGTCATGTTGTAACTTCTTTAGAGATCAAGCCTTTTCTCTTTCATCACCTTTAATTCCCAATGGAGCATTAACTAAAGAAATCAAATAGAAATTTAAAAAAAGAGATGCTCTGAAGCCATCCCTTTACCGCGGAGAAGGCCATTGACTGATTTAAGCACAAACTTAAACTCATGCCAAATCTTTTGTAATGTTCATAACTGCGTTATTTCCTAGGTGGCTTCTTACGAGATGCATAATAGTTTTCAGGTCTACTTTTTACGATAAAGCATGCGTGCTGAGGGCTCTCTGGATCAAGTGAACAGTGCAGCAGAACATTGCTGTCATACTTTTCGTTCGGTGCGTCTAGGTCTGGAGAGAATTACCAAGCTCGGAATGAGCAGAGAAATTTGACGATTTTCAGCTGGGAACTTTTCGTTGGCTGTTGGGGAAGGGGGGAGATGGCGGGGCAGCACGACCGAGAATATCCCGAGTACACTGATGTAAATTCTTGACTCGTTCATTTATTCCTTCATTCATACAGAGTTTGTTTTGAGTATTTTTGTTGAGTAAAAAATGAAAACAGTAGTTTTAACTTAATTATAGAGTCCGTACAAATTAATTTCATCTTACAAAGATATAATCAATAGTTTTGTTTAATTCGTTCAAAAATAGAGCGACCGTATTAGTGCTTTCTTGTGTCGAATTACCACACCTCCCCCCCCCGCCTCCCCCATCTCTTATCTCTTTCTTTATCATTTGCTGTATGTCCCCCACTCTTTCTTTTTCTCACCTGCATCACTCTATTTATCTATGAATCCATCTTTTTATTATCTTTTATTATTAAAATCCCACTCTTCCTCTCCCTCTCTCCGTTTCTCTCTCTCTCTCTCTCTCTCTCTCTCTCTCTCTCTCTCTCTCTCTCTCTCTCTCTCTCCTAATTCTTTTCTCTTTCTTCATCATCTTATGTCGGTCCCACGCCCTTTCTTGTTCTCACACGCCTTTACTGTATTTTTTTAAATGAATCTCTCCTCTGTTCTCTCTCTTTCTCGTCTCCCTCTCACCCTCTCTCTTCTTCTTCTTCTTCTTCTTTTTTCTTCTTCTTCTTCTTCTTCTTCTTCTTCTTCTTCTTATTATTATTATTATTATTATTATTATTATTATTATTATTATTATTATTATTATTATTATTATTATTATTACCATTATTATTATTATTAATAGTGAATTTCTTAGAGAAAATTACAAGAAAAGATATAAACCCGAACGAAAAGTATATTAGCAAGCTTCACAATATAACAAATACAAACAAAACGTGAACGTAGTAGCTATTGAGCCTTCTTCAGCACATACAAATTAAACAATACTACATAGATACACAAAATCACTTAGCTGGTATCTCGATGTGGCCAGGTCAGTTGTTACTCAGCAGAATGACCCCACGTCTGACTGACTGACTTTCCAGAAACCGCGTTCAGACAATTGGCCATATTTATGGCCTGCCTATATTGCGGGCCCCTAAAAAGGACGTGTCAGCTGTGGGAATAAATACCCCATGTGGAGTATCAGGGGCCATAACTGGGGTGTAGGGATTGAAACTGTGAGGGCAGTTCAATCCCCTGGAAGTTTAAATAAAACTGTGTTGGCAATTCATTCTGGAGGGCGTCAAAGTCCCCAGAGTATAAATAAAGCGATTCTCAAGAGACTTGCAGACTCTGTCGCTTTAATGGCTGGATTTAATGGCTGTCACCTCCATGTCGTGGACACCTTGGTGATCTTGGAAATTGAAATGCAACGGTACTGATTTCAGGGCACCATTTTGCACATCCACAAGCTTTTGTCTGAACCTGTCAGCCAGCCGTAGACCTGTTTCACCAATGTATTTCATGCCACATCTCTTGCAGTTGATGGCATAAATGACATTGCGGCTGGTACAATAGAATGCTTCACGTATGTGGAAGGTGGTTTTAGGGAATTCTAGACTAGCCACCTGGACCACATAAGGACAGGTTCTGCATACTGGTCTATGGCAAGAGACAGTGCCGAAGTGGGGCTCAGACGCGGGGCGTAACCTACTCTTGACTAGAATGTCCTTGAGGTTACGGTCACGCCTGTAGGCCACTAGAGGAGGTTCAAAGAAAATCCTGCTGATGGTAGGGTCGGCTTTAAGGATGGAGAGATGCCTAAGGAAAATATTCTTGGTGCGGATATTATGAGGGTGGTAGGTAAGTGTGAGAATAGGTCTATTGTTGTGACGTTTCGGCTTAGAAGCGAGAGCTTCGGCACGACGGAAAGACCGTGTGCGCTGAAAGGCGGCAGATAGGACATGTTCACGATACCCTCGAAGCCGGAAAAAGTCCAGCATTTCCAGGGCCTTGTCATGAAAGTCATCGTTCTCCTGGCATAGTCTGCGGAGGCGTATAAGTTGAGAGAACGGGAGAGGGTCCTTGCAAGAAGAGGGATGGGAAGACGTGTAGAGAAGAATCGCGTGGGAGTCAGTAGGTTTGTAGTACACCGAGGTGCTAAGGCCTATAGAGTTCACGGTGACAGTGAGATCCAGAAAATGCACCGACGAAGGTGAGATGCTAGAAGTGCATCGGATGCCGGGATGAAAGTTAGAGACGTATCTGGTTCTCGAGGTGACCCATGAAGAGGCAGGCTTAGCTGGGTCCCATCTTGGCCCCCATAGCGACGCCACTAATCTGGTTGAAATACTGGCCATTGAACTCAAATGAGTTTAGAGTAAGCACTAGCTCAGCCAGACGAATCAAAGGGTCAGTGGCTATGCCAGGACTGACTCTCTGATCTAGAAAGAACCGCAAAGCCTGGAGACCATCCGAATTTGGAATAGAGGTGTAGAGGGAGGTAACATCTAAGGTGAAGATGTGGTACCTGGAAGAAGAGGTGAACCGGATAGACTGAAAGATAGAGATGGCATGGTTTGTGTCTTTGATGTAAGACGGTAGATTAACGACCAGGGGCTGCAGGATACGGTCGAGGAACCCGGATATGAGCTCTGTAGGACAAGCACAGGCGGACACAATCGGTCTACCTGGGTTGTCCGGTTTATGTATCTTGGGAAGCATGTGAAGGCCAGGCTTCCTCAGACAACTGTCCTCGACAAAAAGAGAGCTGGCCCGGGTGGACAAAAGATCTTCCTGGATAAAGGTTGTGATGGTCCCTTTCACTGTTTTTTTTTTTTTTTTACCGGAACATCCTGTGTCTGGGGTTCATAGGAAGATGTGTCACTAAGTTGTCTATCCCCTTCTTGCACACATAAATCTTTTCTCCAGACTACTATCGCCCCTCCCTTGTCGGCAGGTTTGATAACAAAATCATCACGACGTTTCAATTGTGTGAGTGCCTGAAGTTCTTGAGGTGAGAGGTTAGAGTGCCGGAGAGGTTTGAAGTTCAATTTATTGATCACAAAAAGAGTTTTTTCAATGTATAAATCCAATGCTCTAGATGTCCCATTAGAGAAAATAAGTAACACGTGGTGACAATGTAAACGAAACATGAAGTTAACAAACAAATTACTTGAAATTGTTCGTTTTATTTCGTTTATTTTATTTTGAAAAGTACACAATACTTGCAGTTATTAACATTATTATATGATTATATGATTATATGTAATACGCTATGAGCGTTTATTAAAAACAGACACAGTAACACAGTGAGTAGAACGCTTGATGCCCTTCCATTGGTCATGTGTTCGAAGAAAATCGATCGTTTTTTGTTTTTTGTTCGCCTATGCTACTAGGTTTAGTCAGCTTAAAATGGGCACCGTGAAATATTCGTGGCAGGTATAAAGTCTACCAGTGTGGATATTAACCTCATCATCCATCGCGTGCAGACTGGTCGATGAAAATAATAGACTAATACGTCTTTTTCTTTGCGTTCGGTTTCGTATGCTCAGATCAGACCATCAGGGGAGTTGCCTCTATGAACTCGCATGCCAGTAGCAGGTCCTTTGTGGTTTCCCCTAGCTTGCTATGCACACTTTGCTCTTGAGGCCAGGTGTTGTATGTAATGTGGGCAGGTCTGCGTAGTGTGCTCAGGTGTTTGTGGTCCTGTTTGACAGGCTACTCATACTACTTAACGACATCGCTTCAAGAGGCGAAAAAGGGGTGCTTTACTTAGTTTTACATGCTATATATGAGTGCAAGTGTATAGGCATTCAAAGTGGGAAATATGTGGAATATTAGCTACAGTGGGAAGATAAAGTGGACTGAGAATGAAGTAATGTCGGGGTTATTTCCCATCAGTTGTAGGTTTCCATGACAGTGTTGATCCAAGGTATGTAGTCCTGAACTCGTGTAAACACAGCAGGAAAACTTTCTGGGTTGTTTTTGCTGGTGAATGAAACGATACCGGCCAGTGTGTACTGATTTCCTTTCTGGCACACCAGTGGGCTGCCACTGTCACCCTGTTGAAAAGAAAAAATAATACTTTATTCCTTCGTATTGAATTTGGCAATGTTGCTTTGACTTCCTTCATAGATTCCTATTGGTTTGAAAGCTGCTCGTATTAACTGTATTTTAATCGTGCATTTTTGCCTTTCTCTCTCTCTCTCTCTCTCTCTCTCGTTTTCTCTCTCTCTCTCTCTCTCTCTCTCTCTCTCTCTCTCTCTCTCTCTCTGTGTGTGTGTGTGTGTGTGAGAGAGAGAGGGAGTGGCTATGTTTAATAGGCAAGTAACCAAGGTTTCTAGAGTAGTAACAGATGAAGACAAAAAGAACTCATTCTTTACTACCTTTTGTCGTTGGCTGAAAAAAGTATCAGCAGAAGAACTGATACATTATTATTGATATAAACGACGAACACTGAACATCCACAGCTAACATTGTGACGTGATACCAACCCAATATCCTAAATGTTCCTAGTTTGTTTTATAAAAAGTCATAGCACCATATACCACAGGAGCCCTAATACCCAATATCTGACTAGTCGACAAATTAAATGCAGGCTCACTGAGGCTTCCCCTCCCCCCCCCCCCCACCTAAAATTGTGACATGACACCATCTCTTTGTCAAAACTTTTTATTTTTTTACTCTTTATAAAGTCATAGCACCATACGCGGTGACCCACAGTGACCCCTAAAAACCCTTATGTAACTAGCTGACATGACAATTTGATCCCTCACTGAGTCACCTAACATCTCGATACAACACCCTCTACTGGCATTCGATCTACCGGCACTTAACACCATGACACACGCCATTTTGCCACAATGTTTCGTTTTTACTCTATATAAAGTCATAGTACCATATTATAGGAAAGTCAGATGACCCATGCCCTCCCTCCCCCACCCGCGACCTATCTGTAGATGACCGACTATCGCCTCCTAATTGTATACTATAATAACCACAGCTCATCAGCTAACAACCGACACTACAACAAACCCTGAAGAGACATTGTGGCCCGATCCGTCGGCATGGCATTTGATAATGATGATGATAATGATGATGCTGTTTGACCACAAACCACCCCTAGCCCTAGTTGACACCCGCTCCCATATTTACTTTTACATATTTTACTAGTTAACATAAATACTTTCTACCCCCCTTAACGAAGCCAATCCATACCCCTCTAGTCTTCCGCTCGCTTTATACCTGTTGTAACGTTTCAGTGATGCTCGCTGTGGTAGATAGTACCAGGGTATTCTTGTTATTCTTGTTAGGTGTCCAAACCACTTCCTTTGTTGTTCTTTGATGACCTGTAAGACTGACTTTATTCCCAGCATTCAACTGATTTCGTATTCGGTCTTTCCTTGAAACTAGTGCAGCTCTTCTAAGGCATTTCATGTCTGCTGTCACAATTTTACGTTCAATATAGCAAGAAAGTGTCCCCGTTTGGTACTGATAGTTCTGATAAGATTTACTTTAGTAAGTACTCCTGGGTATATGCTGGTGTGTCAACTAGGAAGATAGTTACCCTATTAATTGATAAGCTTTGGCACTTCTCAAGCTAATTTCTATGTCCGGTTTTCTATCGTTTGTGAAAATTGCTCCCAAATACTTGAATTCCTCTGTTTGTCTAAAGGCTTTTTTTTTTTTTTAAATTGTATCCCTAAATTGTCTTTTTGTCTTCCTATCACCTGTGTCTCTGTGTTCGTAGTTTTTTGTTTTTTCCCCCTTATTATATTCCTCCCCTTTGTTATTAATTTGATGTAGGTGATTCTGTAGACATTCCGTACTTTCTGCTATGAGATGAGCACCTGGTCGTCGGCGAATAGAAATTCTGTAATATATTCTTCATGACTAAAGTTTGTTTCCTTACATATAGTATTCATGTATGTTATAAAAAGAAGTGATGATAGTATGCAGCCCTGAGGCACACGAGAGTTCACTATAAAAGTTCTACCTTTGATCCTACCAATCCTACCTTTGATCTTATGCAGCATTTACTACGAGTGTACAGGCTTTTACAAATAGTAATGAGATGATTGCCGATTTCCCCTTTCCTTCAAACATTTCCACAACATATTCCTGTCGACTCTATGGAAGGCTTTTTCCTTGTCTATGAATGTCAACAAGCAGGTATTATCGTGTTTTATTGTTCTCTCTCTCTCTCTCTCTCTCTCTCTCTCTCTCTCTCTTTCTCTCTCTCTCTCTTTCTCTCTCTCTGTGTTGTCTCAATGTATAAATGGCATTTGTGCAGCTTCTGTTTCCACAATATAACTTACATAAGTCTATTGTCACATCGCTCTATGTTACCACTTGTATATATTTCTACTTTATAATATACATACTATCCATCCCCCTTTGTCAAGCCAATCAAAACCCCTAGTTTTCTCTATTCTACTATTTAACCCCTAAAACGACCCCCGTGCTGCTCATTGCCGCCCCTGAAAACCTCTGATCCCTCTGCTCTGCCTGCCCCCTCACGTGACCCTACTAAAGTCCCATCCGAGCCTTCAGGTGACCTGAAACCACCCGAGCCTCCCTTTTGACCCGCAGTTGACCTGCGACCACACCGAGCCGCAAGATGACCTCGATATTTAAAAAAAAAACTGGAAGTGCTGCATCTCTCGCTTGGGAGGTGAAAATCGTTTCTTCCTTTTTTTTTAAGTTATTTGAAAAGGGGAGGGGGTGCACAAAGAAAAAAGAAGCACCTCTTTAATAGTGATCGGCCTCCACAAAGGCTTCAGATTGTGTTATTATTTACTATTCATACATCAAAAATAAAATTAGATCCAAAGAACACGTGTCTATGATTATATATATATTGTGTGTGTATACACGGTGTGTGTTTGTGTACAATTACTAATTACTCACGCGACACACTCCGACACCTCTGTTCCTGAAGCCAGCACACAGTCGTTTCTGCATCGAGTCCAGGTTGTAGTAATGTAGGCAGTGGGAATCTGAATACACTGGTAAATCTATCTGATGGGCTTGGCTTGACGGTTGTCCTCCTGCAAAAGACAAGGAACTTGCTAGTAGAAAGAAAAAAACACACACGATGTTATGATATTATAATCGACGTCACTGCACACTGGGTATTCCCATGCCTGCTCAGTCCTCTGACTCAGCAGCCAACCCAAGGCACCTTTGCTGATTGTTTCCCCATGAGAAGTTGGTTAAGATATTTCCTATGGTGACCTTGAGGTCGGCACCGAGATGCGTCACCACATTTCACTCCGAGTTCACGCTATCGTGTTATGTTATCTGAACATGAAAGCACTACCCTGTCTATACTTCGCGTCGTGGGGGACGGCCCTCGGTAGGCTGGTCCGGGTATCTAGTGGGAAAGAAGTCTTATCCCTAAAAGTCCATTGTGTCCAAATTGTCTGCCAGTGTCCCTCTGCCATTTGCCAACAAAGTCTAACGTGTGTCCGATAAACCAACCGTAAGCTTGCCACTTGGTCGTCAAGGTATGCTGACTGCTCTAATATGCTACCGCCGTGACTATAAAATAAACGTCGAATCTCACAGTACCTGTTGCATAGTCACCAATTTCGTCTCGTCCTTGTCCGAGAACATCCGGTAATACGTACAGCAGGAGCAGATCAAGACTGGGCTTCATGAACTTAGGTGGGCCCACCCTCTGAAATTGTTAAGGAGCTCGTGGACCGAAACGATTGTGGACGAGGGATCACTTCTACTGATGATTGGTAGACTCCTGCTGTACATGCTTCCCTGTGGAGTTTCTTCTTATCTCACGTTACTTTGTAATAGTCCGGGGCCTACCTTACGGCTAAACAAGATTCCTGGGATTTGCACCTGGGAGATTTTCATCCCAACATTGAGAGACAATCTGAGTCGCTGGATGCTCAATCGCTCAGTGTTCGATCATGGCCTAATGTTACTGTCTCGTTAAAAACAATGTTTCACTTAGGTCTTAGTCTAACAGAAATATAGATTTCTAGACCGATCAATTGTAACTGTCTTCTAGTAGAAGGCTGAAAAACCATAGCTCTTATCTGAACACTATATCATACAGTTATTACTTTAGCTTTAACTATGTCAAATAAATCAAATAACCACTATATTCGAATGGGGAAAAGGGGGGGAGGGGGCAGAAGGCCGAGAGACTATATTTAAATGGAAGTGGGAGAAGGGGTGAGAAGACTGAATAGAAGAACGAAAGCATTTATTCAAATGGAAGTGGGAGGGGTGTGACGAATGAACAGAAGGCTGACAGACTATATTCAAATGAGAGTGGGAGGGGGAAGAAGAATGAACAGAAGGCCAAAAGATTGTATTCAAATGGGAGTGGGCGAAAGGCCAAAGAAAAAGGGAAAAGGATGGCGAAAAAAAGCTGCAACTGGTAGAAAGAGAGGGGAAGGGGAACAATAAAATATCACGTCTAGGAGGACTTTTACCTTCGTACTTTAAAACGGTTTGGCCATGTTATATAAAAACGGGGTTCTTCAAAGTGCACAGTAGTTGTGACGTGACGCGTGGTTTAAATGTTTATGTTGTTGAGTAGGGATCTTCCTTTCAACACATTCTCTGCACTAGATTAACCGAGCTAAAATCTGAGCTATGTTGCTCTCAGACAAAGTCCTGGATATCCAAGAAAACAGCCATATTGGCTCGTTAAGTACTTTAACATTAGCTGCACTTGGTACCCACAAGAGAAGATAGGAATTTTAGATGTCTATCATACTAAATGAATTATTAGACAGGGCAAGTGATTCCTTCGTCATCTACCTTCTCCCGGTGTTATTATTAATAATTAAAGAATTATTATCATATTATATGAGCCCCCACCAAATGTTATTCTATCCTAACAGTTCAATTAAACATGTAAGAACAGACATTTGGAATTTAACAAACTATGTAGTTTAAAACTTGACATACAGCTTTATTTACTACAATGAAATTACCAGTTTGTTGATTTACACAAACAGTGACTGGTTAATGAAAGTGATACGCTTCAGCGAGACAAACAGCTCGGGGTTTAGAGTGGTATGATAATGATGATAAAAGGTTAACATAAAGGGGTTAACTCAACTTATAAGCCTCTGACAGCCGTGAGGAACTGTCAAGCTTGTCCAACTCTTCCTTGCCTGTTGTCTGCCTGTTTCAGCTTATTCTCCACTTCCTCCCCACCTCGTTCTCCACATCGTTCTCCACCTCGTTCTCCACCTCGTTCCCAGCTGGCCGAGTCTAACACAATGTAGGCTACTTCATGGACTGATCGTCACATGGGCGCTGTAATCATGGAAACAAAACACATACGTGTAGTATCTTGACTTACACTAAGAATACATGTATTAATTAATACAACATATAATAACAAAATATCCCATCACTCCTCCTCATATTCCACATTCTCTCCAGTCTAGTCTGAAGGTCTTTTGTCTTACATGGGCGTCACATATCCTGCCTTCCCTCCAATGCTATGTCATGATAGTTGACTTTCTAAGTCTGTTGTCCGTCATCACTCAGACTTCCAACTGGCTGACATTGATATTACATGACCACGTGGAGCAGGTTATGTGCTGAAAACTCAAACAATTTATATGTGCACTCTGTCCTGAATATTATCTTTCAGTGACAGTAAATACTGTACACCCATCATTCTTCCCCTGGGGTTATAAATCCCCTGTTTAGTTGAACACATTAAGTGAGCACATGGTGGGCACACAAAACGTAGCAACATCCCTGCACATATGGGCATGATTTCCCACAGTCCAAACTCATATTTTGGCTGATCATGGAAACAATATAATTACATTTCATTATAGCAAATGTCCTTGTTCACATCTTATTTTATCCACATGAAAACATACACTGAAAAACATGTGACACAAACATACAAGAAATATGAATAGTTTAGCAGTTCCCTAACTGAGATACTGAATTCTCACAAAGAACTATTTCAAGCAGAATGTGCAGACAAATTAGGAGAAGGTAGTATAGACTAAGCTTAACTCCCTAACCTATGTATACAAGATTAAAATTAATATTTTCTCTTACCTGGGAACTTTTCCATCTATCGCCAAACCAGAGTACGACAGTAAAATATACCTTTACGTCGACCTATGTTTGTTTGCCGGTAGGCTGCGATTAATGACGGGAATTCCACAGGCTCGAAGTATAAGTATCAATCTATTGTCCAAATTAAACTCCTCCCTTTCCTTAGTTTTTACCCAACCCTCAAGATGATGGCTTAAGCTCCGCCTCTGAAGTACTTCTCAGATCAAATTAGCTAACAAGTGGCCTGTCAGTCAATTCTGGACTGACGTCCCTAGAGCGAACATTCTTAAAGGACCCAATCTAGTTTACACCGAATCTAACTAGCCGGTGTGAAAACGGTCCGTGAAGCCATTGTGTTTACCACTTGACCCAGATCAAACATTTCTAATTGCCAAATACCTGTTCTGCCAAGAATTACACTGACTTGCGAAACTCCGACCTCTGGGCTCCACAATGTCTAGCGTCCACTCAATTTATCTGGTCAAAAGGGCCCCGCTCAGTCTCTACAGTCTGGTCAGGAGATAACATTCTGACACTGGCGTGTGAAAGGAAATTCTCTAGCCCCGGTGTAATTGCGTAACATTAACAGTCGCTTTGTCTGGACTAAGGACTGGAAACGTAACATTTGGTTTAAGGGCATAGTCTCTTGTCTCTCAATAACCAGAAGAACTTATTACAAGTACTAACTTCTGGAATCACTGAGATCGTATCGTGACATTAGTGGAAATTCTTAAGAAAGGTTATTTTAAAGGTTATTTCGGCTTTGTTTTCAAATAAAAGAATGCAGTGACCTGTCTGCTTATTGGTATAGTTTACATGTCGCTCTCTTTACTGTTTGAATAGTTTCTCTGGATTTTCCTAATAGCATTCTAGTTTGCTAAAATACAATGACTATGTACAGGTTTCGCAGTAGCAACTTCTTTCAACCTAAACTACTAATACTTAATTTTCAATTTCCTTTTGACACCTTTGTACACAGAAAACTACTTGAATTGGCCAGAAATTGCTAGTTACCACATTCTGCTTCCAATGACACCAGCTGTTGAGATTCTGCACATGCAGATAAAATTAAAAACACTCTACACATTCTACTCTAATATTTCCACAAGTTAACAGTTTTCAGTTAATATGATGAATTAGCTTCAAATGAATAGTAATAATTACGACATGAAATTTTCCATAAAACTTAACTCATGGAAAGGTTATGTTTATACACTAAGACAATGATTCTCAACCTTCCTACAACAGGGACCCTTTAATACAGTTCCTCATAGTGTGGTGACCTCCAACCATTAAATTATTTTCTTTGCTACTTCATAACTGCAGTGAATCTGACCCCCAAAGGGGTCACGACCAACAGTTTGAGAACCGCTGCATTAAGAGCGTTGCAAACGCACTTTGTAAGCTCGGTTCCCTCCTACCTGCAGGCGGTTTGACGGTAGACCGCCTTGCGTTGGTTTCGACAGTGGTGAAGAAAGCCGACCGTTTAGTGAGCAATATCAAACAGAATATCATGAACGTTCATGTTAAAGGTACAACAATAAAACAAGTAGGAGAACTGAAACATCTAGGAAACATATTTATAGAGGATGGCAGACACGAAAGAAAGATAGAAACCAGAGTACAGAAGGCAAATTCTGTCACCTACCAGTTAGCCAGACTGTTTAGACACCCAAATGTCTCCCTTTCCAGCAAAACAGCAAATAATTAATATCATCTTCATCCCTACTTTATGTTATCAGTCCCAAACATGTACAATGAATAGGGCACTAGAACAGAAAATAACTACATGCCTGTCTCCGCAAGGTCATTAACAACACTAGACGAGACTGGGTTACGAATACCAGCATTAGAGAGAAAGTTGGAAAAAGACCTTGTCTGGATTAAACTGACAGACAAAGAATAAAATGGTTCGGCCATCTAGTGAGAATGCATCCAGACTAGACTGCATATTAGACTTTTCACAGTAGAACATCTGGGATAAAGGCGAGAGGAAGACAAACAAAGGATAAATGGTGTAGAAGAAACCTGCAAAAGTTTAACAAATCAAAACTCAAGCCACCCGAGAAGCGCAAGACATACAGAAAAACCACAACATTGGGCTACAACCAAGTATCAGTGAGACGACAGAAAAAGAAGAAGAAGATCAAACGTAAGTTCGCCTAGGAACACCACAACAGCCCCCCCCCCCCCTTCTTTTTTTCCCCCACCCAAAAGCTGAAGTTAGTTCTGCAACGTCCTGTAAAGTATACACGCAACTAAGATTTTTTTTAAAACCCTTAGAGCTAAATAGTAAAAATATGGGGGTGACTGCAGTAAAGCTAATACAAGGAATTCCAGAGAAATTTGATAATTTCTCAAATTTCTCTGGAATTCCGAGCTAAATAGTACTGTGTCTTGCATAATAAACCAATACATTAGAGATTCATTAAAATAACACAGAAACCACGAACTCAGCGGAGAACAATTAGACGTAAACAGTCAAAAGTTGTTGGACACAGGCACAAATAAATTCCACATTTTTACTTCTTCTGCCTTTCTATCCCCCAATGGAGCATAGGCCCTCAACCAACTCACGCCAAGTCGTTCTATCCTTCGCCATTGCATGGAGCTCTCCCCACATCCTACCCATCTTTCTAACTTCATTCTCCAGCTCTCTTCTCCGTGTGTATTTTGGCCTTCCTTTATTTCTAGGCCCCTGTGGGTTCCAATGCAAAGACATTCTGGTTATGCTGTTCTCCTGTTTTCTCAGTGTGTGTCCAATCCAGCACCAGCGTCTTTTCCTCACCTTCTGTTCCACTGGAACCTGTTTAGTTAATGAGAAATGGATTTATAAGGTCGTCGTGGCCAAGAGACGTAAATTACGGCAAATCACTCACCCACTGTAGTGCATCCCCAGCCTTTTGTAGTGCACACTTGGCCAACCTGAGGAAAGTCTACTTCAGTTTGATTGGGTAACGGAATCATCTGAATCAGAGAAAATCTTCTGCCATTTGGAACCGCCTCTGCTAACCTCAGCAGCGCTATGTCGTCATTGAGCAAACCTGAATGAGAAAAGTCATCGTCATCGTCCTTTTCAGGGAGAAACTTTTCGTTATTGAAGCCCTACTCTGGCTCTTGCCAGGGGCCGCAATATAGCCTGGCCATAAAGGCTGAACGCGGTTTCTGGGACCTCTCCACGGTGATCCTCACCCGCCTTCTGTCATATTGTGTCATCGGGTGTTTATAGCTTGTATGATGTCCTGGTGGGGTAGAAAGTCAGTCAGTCAGTCAAGATAAGTCATTCTCAGTACATACGCAATAAACTTAGTTTGTTAGTTAATTAGCTTGATTATCATCACTGCACTCCGGACATGTCCATAGGGGCTCAGATTCTCAAATTTCCCCTCAGTAGGAACCCCAGGGTCCGGTGGCTAATAGTACCAGTCCTTTGTTGATTAACAAGTCCTCTGATGTGCCTCATGTGTCTCGTTTTTTTTTTTTTTTTTTTTTGCAAAGCCGATCTTGACCCCCCCCCCCCACGCCCCCCCCCCCAATCCTCCACCCTTCCCCTTTCTCGGAGGGCATTAATAATATCAGCAAAATCCATCAGTACTGATGGCGAATCTAACCAATCAATCAGCTCTTTCATTCCCATCAACGTACGCGTTCCCGGAACGAAAATAAAGGTGACCACCTACAGTGGACTTCTATAATGATTCAAACCACTGCCTTCACACCTAACCTGCCGGAACCCTCCGGATCATACTAATTAAATCACTGAGTACACATGTGTGGGTGTAGTTTTAAGTTTCGTCGTCGGAGCTACGGAAGTAGTGCTCTGTGCGACGCTCTAGGCAGGCATCTAGCTGTTCTACGGAGGAAGACTGAGCTATATAGGATAAAACCCAGTGCAATGAAGTCGATCCTCTCACTTTTACCTTCTCACTTATACAATTCCCAGTGTACGGGAAAAGGTTCTTATTTTTCAGCTGAAGATTACATTAGATTCTACAAAACAGTGCATACTGTCTTTACAGAGGCACAAATAGATCATTACGGTCTGAGGAGAATGGCGCTGCAAGGAATTACGCTCAAAACTCAAGGTAATGGCGAGACGGATATATAGACAGTTACTGGTGCCATCAGAATTTGAACTTTTCTCTTGCTGCTGAAGATGGGTATTGTCTCAAGTTCTGTGGTGTCGATTCTTAAGTCAACTTTCGATATTATACATATTTTTAACCACTGTTTAGGGCAGTGTAACCAAGGGGGTTGAGTGGGGGATCTTTAAGCCTGAGGCTAGGGCAGTCGAGACGGACTATGTAGGTTCGGATTTTAGTTTTGATTTCATATACTAAACACTGGATACTTCCAACAATGATATATATTTAGGAATAATTAAATCAGGAGGAGAGTCGACACAGCACCAGTAGTGCATTTTTACGATAGACAACAGATGCATTTTTGGACATTTAAAACATTTTACAACAGACAGGGCACCAAAGATATCGAGCATCGTTGTACATTTACAACAGTAACAAAGAGCTGGACTATGCGGAATATGGACGGCGGAAATATCGGGACACTAAAAAAAAATACAATATACAAAAGGGTCCGTTTCAGAGATCTCCTCCCGTGCTCTGCGTGCTTTTTACCTCCATCACTCATCTCGTGTTCATCGGTCAAAAACATCTTTAGCACTATATGCTTGATAGGTCAATGGCAGGAAAACAGTCTTGCTGTTTTACAACTCATTACATTTAGATTTGAAAACCGTTTGGTTTTTTTCTGTCGTCCCTTTTTTTTAATGGTAATGGGGGGGGGGGGGGGGGGGTCCTAATGCGTATGTCGTAAAGCGACGCACAGAAGAGTTACAAATAGTTTCCTGTCTTTTGCTAATTGCCTTGCTTGTGTTAATGTCATACTTTGTTTCTGCAGTGTCTCTTTTACTCGCTCCATCCTTATCAATCTTGGTCGCCCTCTTGCATCGTAGCCTGCTGTTCTAATTTAGTACGAAGTTCCATTCTGACTAGACGACCAAACTATTTGATTCTTTGATATTCTATGAAACATTCACCCGTACTGTGCCCACCATTGTTATTAGCTCTTCGTTGATAACTATCTCGTCTTGTTTGTCTCTTGGTTACTTCCCCTTATGATTTGGTAGAGTTTAAAAAAAAAAAAAGATTAATTATGTGATATTAAATGGTAACTATATTTAAGCTACGGCGTACTTGTTCTGTTGTAATTAGGATGTGTAACAATCCTGTCAACGTTCACTTCCCACTGTCGCAGATCGTCTTGGTTCAAAACTCTGCCAATGATGTCCAGAAACCTCTGTGCCATAGTTGGCTGGAGATTTAAGGTGTAACACAAGAAAATACAAATTGTTACTGTTTTATGGCATCTGTCTATTTGTCTCTCCGCTGTTCATCCATTCCTTCTATCTATCTATCTATCTATCTATCTATCTATCTATCTATCTATCTATCTATCTATCTATCTATCTATCTATCTATCTATCTATCTATCTATCTATCTATCTATCTATCTATCTATCTATCTATCTATCTATCTATCTATCTATCTATCTATCTATCTATCTATCTATCTATCTATCTATCTATCTATCTATCTATCTATCTATCTGTCTGTCTGTCTGTCTGTCTGTCTGTCTGTCTGTCTGTCTGTCTGTCTGTCTGTCTGTCTGTCTGTCTGTCTGTCTGTCTGTCTGTCTGTCTGTCTGTCTGTCTGTCTGTCTGTCTGTCTGTCTGTCTGTCTGTCTGTCTGTCTGTCTGTCTGTCTGTCTGTCTGTCTGTCTGTCTGTCTGTCTGTCTGTCTGTCTGTCTGTCTGTCTGTCTGTCTGTCTGTCTGTCTGTCTGTCTGTCTGTCTGTCTGTCTGTCCACAAACACATCCATCCATCCACCTGTCTGTCCATCCGTACGTCCGTCTGTCTGTGTGTTTATGCATCAGGCCTTCGATGCAGCAGCCACCCCAAAGTACTTCAACTGGTCTGTCTATGTATATGTCTGTCCATGATTATCTATTCATTCGTCCATCTATATTATATTGTTGTCAACCTAACTGTCTGTCCACCTGTAGGCAAGCATGTCTCTCTGACACACTGCTTTTCCCATTTTCCGGTGCATTTCTGAGTGCGTTCATAAATAAAGAAGTTAGCATAATAGGTTGTATATTTGACTGAAAGTATACAGTACCCGTAATCTAACAGTTGCCAGTTTGGCCTTCCAGTTCCAAGGACGAGCTGCTGCCTGTCTGCATGAAACAAATAATATGACAAATTTTATTTAGATGTTTCCATTAAAATTACATTTGTATGGCTGCAGTATATTTGAGTTTAGTGTATCTTTATATTATTTTTAATGATGTACAAGTGAAAATACACATAAATAAATTGTTGATACATACACGAGGCCTTCTGTGCTACTTAAATCATAAAATGTAATGCAAATTGTTAAATAGCTTAATTACTTACGTCCTTCTTAGGACGTTATTTTTTGTTATTTGAAGCCCCACTCTGGCTTTTGCCAGGGGCCGCAATATAGGCAGGTCATCATTATGGCCAAATGTCTGAACGCGGTTTCTGGGACCTCTCCACGGTGATCCTCATCCGCATGGTGGCACTTTGTGTCATCGGGTGTTTATCGCTTGTGTGATGTCCTGGTGGGGTAAAAAAAGCCAAGCCAAGCCAAATTGTTAAAATGCAAGGATAATATCTAATCTAATCTCATTTCTGGTACTTTGCAGGATCGAGGTAACGGATAAACTGCGATAGGGCTGACTGCATACTTCATATATAAGGATTCGAGAAACGATATGGTTCTCTTAATTCAGTCTCTTTTGATTTCCACTCGCTCTCTACCATCATTTGATAGAATTCGAGGTACAACAACTGATAAATTAAAACACTGGGCTAGATGGGGCAGTGGTGTACACCGATGGTTCTAGCTTTCATCTAGAGTGAAGGGAAAGATCGTGGCAGAACGAAATGGTTCCTTTCTATCTACAGCTTCAAACTAAAGGATAGATGTGGAGACAATGACTGCAGCTCTGAAGTGGGTGGCAGAAAACAGAGTTACCAGATGAATTATAGTGTTTGATTCTCAGTTGCGAAAGGTACAGACTGGACAAACATGGCATGGGTGGATACCAATCATCAGCACGTCTGGAGGCTCAGAGGTCTTGAAGCATTACAACGTCTCGAGTGCTTCAGACCCAGGGTTTATGTACCGGCTGGGATTTTTTTCCCCACCTGGACTTCTAGTAATTTCCCCTGGTCTCTGGGTAGTAAGTTCGGACGCCCGTCTGTATTATTGCGCACGTAAAAAATCCCTTGGCAGTTGAAAATATAAAAAGAGTAGCATAACGGCGCTGTTCGGGCAAACTGTGGAGTTTAAAATCTACCCAAAATATTTCAGGATCCTCGCCGGTGCTGCGGAGTTCGTGCACTGCTCCGAGAATATTCTCAGGCTTGAGTTAAAAGAAGAACGGAGCACTTATTGGTTACTACCCTTGTGCCATGATGTTGATCCGTTGTATAAACCAACCAAACCATTCATATATGCATATTCAATATCCAAGAGTTGCAGGAGTGCGGGGGTATGAAAGAGTTGACTTGTTGGGTACAAAAGCGATAGCCACGGGAACAGTTGGCTGCCGGAGACAAAGCGTTTATAGGGATGCCATGTGCGCTATGATGTCGATTCTTAAATCAGTTAAGGTTAGTTGCGTATCCTTTACAGGACGTTGCAGAACCAACCCCAGCAGCCCCTGGCTGTTGTGTGGTCTCTAGGTAAATTTACGTCCAGTAGTTTGCCATTGCTCTGGACGGTCGGCTCCCTGATACCACTATCGAAAGCAACGAAAGGCGCTTGGCCCGCAGCTGGGATCGAACCCGGAACCCCGGCTTTACGAAGCGTTCTCATCGACTTAGCCACAGAGCCGACTCTTAAATCAGTAAATCATTGATATTCATAACTGCTGCACGCAGTGTTGAAATGGATAAAGTCATGATTCCATTCGTACATTCAAGTATAAAAGTAAGTTAATCTATTAAACAAATGCTGCCAGATCCATTTTTTATCCGGTGGATAGTTCTTGTTCGTCCACTTGTGGACTTAAGTCTTGTACCAGATTTGAATGTTGAGCGCTCATCCGTTTTAGATATCTGTTGTGTGTATGTGCAGACTGTTGGTGCCTTGCCTCTCAGGCACATTCACTCCGACTTCGAAGGATACTTCCCTGTTTAGTCGACTCTTACAAAAAGCTTGTTAAGTAGGTATATTCTTGTTTTTCCTACAATGGGGGTCCCGGAACCCACACGGGGAAGGAGAGAATTTGATGTTTACTAACCCATTATCTGAGAAACAGTGAGCAGCGGTAATCACCCAGCGATCGGATATGAGAGCACCTCCGCAGTACAGGTGATAATGTCTGGTGGGGAAGATGCCAAATAATCTGTTGGTGACAATTGTGGCTTTCAGAAGCACCAACCACGGCCAGGCGCCTCTCCCAAAGCTGTGTCCGCCAATCGCCCTCTCTATTCGATCTGTTGGGAAAAACACAACAGAGGGTTCTTTGTTAATATCCTACTCCCAGATGACGTCACAAAACAGACCAACATTTTAGAGCGTGGTAAGGCTAGGTTTCCCGGCTTTCTGGCGCTTTTAACGACCCCAAAACATTTCCAACAGGCCCTATTCCCAACCTACCTACGTCCCTCGAGAGAGTGCAGCTGAGGTCACACGACTGCATGCAGCCTAGGTCCCACGACTGCATGCAGCGTATCTTCCATTCCCAAGAAATATTAGACTGTCCGGTGACCTGTGGATTTCCCTTATTAATAAAGCACCCAAAAGAGTAGCAGCCTGAGCTAGTTTATCAGACCGTACATTCATGTGATAATCAATAGAACTTTAACATCTCAATGGCATGTCAATGATTCAGGAAACCCTGATGGTACTAAGCCAGCAAGAAACATGCATTTACAGAAACTGACTGACATTCATAAAAGACAAAAAGGACAGATGCAGAAATCTGAGGACAGACTAGCCGACAAGACAGCTATAGTGGCATATACGCTTATGAGGTTTCAGTTGAAGCCACCAGTATCCATCTGTATACCCTAAATCTCTCATCTCTCTTGCAAGTTTGAAGCTATTTGCATTTCTCACTTAAAATCAAGCACATCCTAGTGACGAAGTTCGATGAGCGTAGGATGTCTAGCTAGTCGAGCTGCAGCGTTTATTTCTCCGTAGCAAAGCATTATCGCCATTTGTTCTTATATCATCACAGGAAAGACATTAAATAAAATATCTACAGTTATCCTGCAGGATACCACAAAAAGAAGTTCCATTTGATAACAGCGCAGAGGATCTATGTTCGGCTCAGTTTATTGGGAAATGGTTTGCTTGTAGATAGATGGTCGATGAAGTACTTTTACTAAACATACAGCAAAGCATTGATTTTAAAATCAGTAATACAAATAATTTCCACATTTCGCTAACAGACACGCGATCCGGATACTTCTGAAAACCGGGAAGATTTTATGCTATCCTCTTCCGACTCTGAACATGCAGTTGCAGACACAGGCATCATCACGCTGATCTTTGCAATCACAGTGAAAACAGTGAGAAAGTCATTGCAAACACTGCTCGTTTTTGTATCTTTCACTCAACTGACAGAGCTTTCAAATATGCTTACATATAACCATAGCGATTTGTTTTCCTAAACTGGCTGTTACATCCCATAGACAAAATTATTTTCTTTTATGCCTTCCAGAGTCAGGTTTTGAAGAAGCATCTGGTGCCTGCCTAGGCGTGTACTACATCGATGATGGTATTCACTATCTCGGATATTCCATCTATCTATCGTTTGCGATTGTGACTTCTATGTCTGTTTCCATTGTGTCTAAGTGACTGGGCTCTGTATGGTGCGCAATCGTGTGGTAGTCTTGGTACATGTCCGAACCATTTGATCTCTTGTCTTTTGATAGTGTATAGTACTAATTCAGTCCCAACTTGTTTCCTGATATCGTTATTTCTAATCCTGATAGAAAACAAGCTACACAATCCAACCAAGTGTGACCATAATTTGCAAAGTTTGGTTTAAACAACGGAGCCACATCATAGCACAAGGGTAGTAACCCATAAGTGCTCCGTTCTACTTCTAACAAACTTGAGTTCGAAGAATCTCAGCGCAGTGCACGAGCTTCGTAGCACCGGCAAGAATCCTGTGGTACTTTGGCTATGTTTTTAACTCCAAATTTTGCCCGAGCCTTTAAGCTACTCTTTTTCTATTTTCAACTGCCAAGGGATTTTTTACCTGCGAAACAATACACACGAGCGTCTGATCTTACTACACAAAACCAGTGGAGATTACTAGAAGTTCACGTGAAAATAATCCAAGTCTTTACTGGGGCCTGAACCCGGAACCTTCAGCGCTCAAGGCGGACGCCATGCTTCGAGACCACTCAGGCCCAAGTAAGCGTTTGGTCTAAGTTTGCTGAAGGCCTGTGCTCACTTGTAAGATACATGTTTCGGACTGCTCCTGATTTCGCATTTTAGAAAACAGAAGAAAATAATATAAATAATTATAATACACTCAAATGTTTCGGAGGATTACTAGAAATATTACTTACTCTTACTCCCGTCTCTTGAATCTGACACCACAACCACAGCATTAAATGTTAGTATGGCTGCTGCTACTGCTAGCCATTCTTTACAGGACGAGATCCGCTGAGACAAAATGGTAGAATTATTTCAATACACGTTTAGGTTAACATCGCAATGTATGTATTTATGTAAGTTGTACCCCACTAGAACATCACACAAGCGATAAATACCCTGTGATACAAAGTGCCACCATGCGGATGGATTCACCCGTGGGGAAGTCCCGGAAACCCTGTTCAGATGTTCGGCCATATTTCAGGCCCTGTTATATTTAGGGCCCCCGGCAAAAGCCAGAGTCGGGCTTCAAAATAACAAAAATTTGCACCCCAAGGATGACAAGAATTAACTAACATCGCAATATAAACTCTCTCTCTCTCTCTCTCTCTCTCTCTCTCTCTATATATATATATATATATATATATATATATATATATATATATATATATATATATATGAAAGGAGAGGGCCGAATGTAAGACGGGCCTGCGTGCCCAATTTGTGACCCGTTGAAAATAAAGTTTGTTCGTTCTTTCGTTTGTTGCAACTTTTGCGTACATATGTTTAAATTGAAACAATATTAGAATTGAAAATATGTTAACTTTGTTCTTAAAACTATACAATTAAGAGTTCCACGATTGTTCAAGCTAAAAAAAAACTGCTAATACCTTGTCAATGCGTGTAATAATTTCTTTCTGTGCATTTCCTTCACTATCAAAATTACTAGCTACATAAATCTGTTACTGTAATTACTTATATTATAATTATTGCATGGCTGTCCTTGAAAAAATATATTAAAATGAGATTCAGTAACTTTAAAAAAAAAACATTATATTTAAAAAAATAAAATATAAAGTATTTAAATATAATATTTTACCATTGCGACAAGTCAAAGTCAACAAAAATTAGTTTCTTCTGTTTTAGAGTCACTAACTGTTTACTAGCAGCAGTGTATTCTGACTCAACACACATTACACTGTCTTTTGTTTGACTCACACCTCGGAAATCCTCTCTCGACAATTTGTTGAGGGCGACACCATTGATGTGTGTACAGTCAGTGATTAGGTTTATGACATTTTGTTGGACAACATGACTTCTCAACTCCGGTCACTTCACAGATACTTGTCTGAATACATGTCCTTAGTTCTGGTTTGTTTGTTTTATCTTGTTTGCTTTATCTTGACCTTTTCACTTTCTTACCATTGTGTATTTCTGTTGCAGTTTTGTTTTCTATCGGCGACGGCGAGTATGACTAGCAAAACTTGCGTGTTAAGACAAGTCAACCACAAATTATTGTGCGATTTCAGGACCGTTGTTGACATCGCATGCATTTAGAGCGCTTCTTCTCATACTCTCCTCTCTCTCTCTCTCTCTCTCTCTCTCTCTCTCTCTCTCTCTCTCTCTCTCTCTCTCTCTCCCTCTTCTCTCTCTCACTCCCTCCCTCCCTCCCCTCTCTCAATTCTCAGCCTATCTGCAATAATTTTGTCCTTTATTCCCACGGCCTTCCTGACCCCCCCCCCCCACCCCACCCCCACATCCAGCCTCTCAGTGCAACACGGTACTTGCCTTTACAATCAGTTGTACCCATTTTACGCTGTATCTGTCACAGAGCCCAGGTCACAAAAATATAGTCTTCACACCGTAGGCGATTGCAGTTTATGTCCACCTGTGCAGCATCCAATCTGTCGCGTAAAGGATTTCTCTTTCTTAATCCATAGTTGTGGATTCAAGCTTGACTAAAGACATGGCTAACGAAGACACATATTTTGGGTATGCCTAGTTGGTCATGTGACATGTGTTTGTGCATCAAGGCGTTGTCATCATTTGGAGATGACAGGCTCGATTCCTGGCATGTTAGCTACAATTTTTGATTTTATATTCACTGGTGTGTCCTTTTATCTTTATACTTCTGTCAGTGAGTGCTGATCATTACATTATCTGATTATTTTTTAAATTAAAGATGTTTCTATGGAACAGGTAGTTCCCCGTCTGTTTATTTCTATGTTGAATATAGAATTAGGAATCGACATCAAAGCACTCGGGACACTGCCATAAGTGCTCCATCCCTATCTTCAGCAGCAAGCGAGGAGTTCCAGTTCTGTTGACACCAGTAACCGTCTGGTTGTAAATTCGTCTCATCCTTCCCCTGAGCATCTGCCAGATCCCCTGATAACTCCTCGCAGCGCAATACTCTTCAGACCGTAATGATCTATTTGCGCTTCCGCACTGTTCACTTATTCTCAAAAGGACCTCACAATATCTAGCTTGTCATACATCAGTTCACTACTAAGTGGTGTAGAACCGGCTAGCCTATCTGCCTGTTCATTTCCCAACATACCGGCAAGAACTGGATAGAATATCCAAAAGATGCTAACTAGCTGGGACTTCTGAAGTGATGCTTGCCAGGACTGTCTCACGCATTTAGCTTGCTTTTTCTCATACTCTCAGCTTTCTCTCTCTCTCTCTCTCTCTCTCTCTCTCTCTCTCTCTCTCTCTCTCTCTCTCTCTCTCCCTCTCCCCCCCCCCCTTTTTTTTCAGCCTTAGTTCTGAATTCATTCATTATCCTGTCGTGCCATTATATGTCACATACGGCATGTAGTCTATTCCCCCATTCCTTTCTATCCTGTGCAATCTTTTCAATCTCATGGATGAAAATCCAGTCCAGTAGCTTGACCTCTCTCATCAACGTTCGTCTTAGGCGTTCTCTTGATTGTTCTCGCCTCCTTAATCACTTTATTTCCCATTAAAATTCCCTATTTGGTGATTCTCTGCTGGTTTCTTCTCAGGATATGTCCAATGTAGCGCCATCTTCTCTGTCTTATAACTGTTGATACTAGTGGCTGTAATCCTGAATGCTTGTATTTGCATAGAAATTTTAAGAATCGAGAAGAAATACTGACACTCTTTAAGTTCTTAAACATACAGAAAAAAGGACCCTTTCCTACGCCTTCAGGCGTACTGGGCATATAGGGCCAGACCAGTATTTTATACTGGCACTGGTGGATGATGTGGTCAGCAACATGCCGGCTGCCTTTACTTTCCATTACTGTGCCTGGTACTCAGTCAAGGCTGGGTTCACCTAGGAGGCAAGGTCTTTTTTCGAAAAAAATCCCTGCGTCATCAGGACTCGAACCCACGACCTTTTGATCCGCAGGCGAGCGTATAGCCACTACATCACGGCGGCTCCCAACATGAGGGAAAACATCTAATAAACAGTATTACGTCTCGAAAAAATGAAATGCTTTGGTCAGTAATGGAAGTCATAGATCCTGAAGAAGAGATAGACATCGACGAACACTAAGGTAGGCTTGTGACATTAATGATACTGTGAGCACGAAAACACAGACTGCAGGAGAAATGGGCAGAGGAAATGGTGAGTGCAGCTGGCCGTGTGCAGCTGGCCGTGTGTGTGTTAATGTCGGCAAAGGACCCGCTACATGGTGATATGCATGTGTAGGTTGTATTGGGTTGTTTTTTCCTTGTTCTAGCGATAAAGCAACAGTGAGCAGTAAGCAGCACCTTTTCTTTTTATAATTTTTTTTAGTGCTACTGTCGTTGGCATTTTGGGGTGAGTCACATCATTAGGTGCCTTGTCGACCAGCGTGGGCGATCATGCCTCTCCACAATCTGCGATCTCCTGCAGCATGTATCATTTCGTGTGCTGACACACCTCCATGCCATGCAACATAACTGTCACGAATTTTCTCTCGTTGTCTTCCTCTATCCCTCCTTCCATAGATCTTTCCAGTGGTTACATGTTCTATTTTCCCTCTTCTCGTAACATGGCCGAAAAAGGATGATTGTCTCCTTCTGATGTCTGTGAAAAGTTGTCTCAAAGGTAAAGTAAACTAAAGGATCCTTGTTACAACAGCGACGCATCTGGCATATGATGCTAGACTCATACTTGATAGACCAGTCGACACTCGCTGGGTGAAATGGTCAATATCAGGCCGGTTGCCTTTTGCTTCCCATGACATTACCTGGTGGACCTGGGAAGAAGGGTTAGTTCTGAAGAAAAAAAAGGCCTGCAGGCAAGCGTCTAGTCACTAAGCCACCGCCCCCCCCCCCCACCCAAGTACGTCTATGTGCTTGTGTTTTTTTCTCTCCTCAAATTGAAATGCCCGTAGACACTACAATGCTACTGTAATAGACATTTTGTGGTGAGTACCTTCAACAACAACAACAACAACAAAATGCAAAACATGGTTCATAGTCTTGCCATAGTCTGCCCAGCTTCTGAGCTGTGTGCATGGCGTGACACTGTGAGCTGCGAATTTCATTTAGAACATATTTTGTGTGTTTTTCGTTGGTACAGGAGCGGAGCAACTATGGGGTGACCCATTTGCTATGAAGCTGAAACTAGGATTACCAGATAGTCTGCAATGTGATTATATAAAGGGAATGAAAGACGGGAAGAAAAAAATCATACGTAATACCGGCACATTTTAAAGGCATAATTTTTTTTTCAACGATACTATAATAGAGGGAGTCGCCGTGGCGTTGGCGGCTGGACGCCCGCCTGCTGGTCGGAAGGTCCTGGGTTCGCGTCCTGACAGTCTCCGGACCTTTTTCAAAAAATAACCTTGACTCCCAGGTCGACCCAGCCTTAAGTGGGTACCAGGTGCAGTCCTGGAAAGTAAAGGCGGTCGGCGTGGTGCTGACCACAGAACCCACTAAGTGCCGATTGGTCTATAAAAATGTATGTCTAGCCCTATATTCCAAATACGCCTAAAGGCGTGGAAAAGGGACCTTCATTTTACTTCTTACTATAATAGACAATTTTTGGTGAGTACAGGCACCTGTTTTTCTAGGAGAATCCTTGGTTACAAACAACGCACATCTAATTGTGCACATTACAACTTTCTTTTACAAGAGTCACAATGTGAATTGTGTAGTAGAATGACGTAGTAACATGACTTGGCATTCACTGATTAAATATCTTCAGATGTACACTTGACTTTTGACCTTTTCCTGTACGCCGCCACCAAGATTTGTTTGTCAAGTGTTCTACATAGCACAGCAGCTTTCGTTTTTGACATCGACAGTAAATGGGAAGCAATTTCTAGGACATTATGTAATTATTCAGGCAGCACGAGCTTTATGGTTTTATTTTTGCTGAGACTTTTTTTTAAACACACACATTTTTACATTCACACATCTTGATTAACCATTTTGGCTTTCCTGTGTGACTGCATGTCAATCCTCCAGTCGACTCAAACGATGCAGACACAGCATGGAAAAAGAACTGACCATCCAGCTAAAAAAAAAAAAAAAGAAACAATACACCCATTTATACAGTTGATTCACGACAATTCTCGTCCTTATGCTCTGATTATCAACACAGATGGTTCTGTACTGAGGGGGAAGAGAAGTGCCTGGGGTTGCGTGGCGAAATCCAATGTAAAATCTTTGGTGCAGGACTGCCTGGTATATATTCTTCTTTCGTTCGCCACTGCCTGGTATATGATACTACAACATTAAGTGTGAGAACTGAGGTGGAGGCGGTCACTGCAACTTGCCGGTGGCTAGAGAACAAGATACATACTCATATCGTTATTGTAATGGGCTCTGAAAGCATGCTGAAAAAGGTGAAGACAGGGTTGTTTCGATCAGAGTGGCAAGCTTTACTTGCAAGGTCACGGGTAGTGAGCATACTTTGATCTTTTCTCCAGGCTATGCCAGCTTGGTGGGAAATGAACAGACAGGCAGATTGGCTGGATCTGGACCTCTGGTTGGTGAATTGATACATGACAAGGCAGATGTGGTCAGAGCCCTTTGGAAACAAGTAACGAAGTCAGAAGAGAAACTTAATTATTATGGGCTGGAGATAATGATACGCCTGGGTGTGATCAGAGGGTTCGGCCGGCACACTACACTCAGAGGAAAGGCAAGACGGACATACAACCAGACTACGACTGGCACCATCAGTATTGGAACTCTGCGCTGGCTGCTAAAGATGGGGACGGAGAGAGTATGGGAATGCCCCGAGGGCTGTGATGTCAATGCTTGACTCAACTTAACACCGATTTATAGTCATACGTTGTTCTTCTTCTTCAGCATTCCGAGAACTTGAGGTTCATTGCTACAGATATCACCAGCCTCCATTCATCTCTCTGGTTGGTGTTCTCTTTCCAGATGGTAACATCAAGTGTTTGCAGGTCTGTCTGGACATTACTTCTCCGTCGTCTTCTTGGTCTGCCTCGTGGTCTAAGACCATTCATCTCCCTTGTGTATACAGTTTTCACTTCTCTATCATCTGACATTCTCTCAATATGCCCCAACCATTTCAGTCTATTAGCTCTCACGATGCCAGTGATCAGTGGTGATTTAAACAGATTATTAATTTCGTTGTTGCTTCTCACTCTCCATTCCCTCACTGCTTGCATTTTTGATGGGTCCAACGATACGTCATAAGACTCTGTTTTTGAAAACCGGTAAAAAGGCTTCATCTCTTTTAGTTGTGCTCCAAGTTTCAGATCCATATAAGACGACTGGTCTTATCAATGTTTTATCATTAAGAGAAATTAAATCACTTTTCAATTGGAAATACACAGAATTGTGGAGATAATAAACTCACAGTAAACATACACGAGACCCCATCAGCAGACTCAACAAAAAACACCATACAACAATTGTCCATGAACAGGACAATGCGGGCTCAATTACCACATGTATAAAATAAAGACCATACCTCCCCACAGTTTGCATGTCAGACTGGACCACAAACTGCTGAGCACATTCTACAGGCCTGCCAGTTGTACTTATAACTACGAAGAGAAACCTGACATCCAGAGCAAAGTATGCAGAGCAAGATATACATTACGTAACATAACATAACCATTGTATCGTTGGAAGCACTAGCACACTACACCGCCATCTTTCTCTGTCTTCCGCTTGATGAAAAAGTGTATGATAACTTAGTCCTGTCCACTTCTTGATTGTGTCAATCCAGATTCTTTTTTTGTTGTTGCCCCCCTCTTCTTGGACTACCCTCTAATGTTCCTTGAAGTACAGCTTTTGCAATCGAATCATGTCTTACCACGTGCCCAGATAAAGCTAGCTTGCAACTTTTCACCACTGCAAAGAGAGGCTCCTGATGTCCTGCAAATTTGAATTTTTTTTATCTCTGACATATTTTTTTTTTTTTTTATGTTTCAAATAACTAATTCGTAAAATGCGTCCGTAACAGAGTCCAACTCTTACATCCATATAAGAAAATAGACAATACCAGTGATTTGTATTTATTTATATATATATATATATATATATATATATATATATATATATATATATATATATATATATATATATATATATATTGTTTAATATCCAGAAACCATGAGTTGTTAACCCTTTGGCTCGGTAGTATGGATATCGCAACCCTTCGGCCTTGATTCCATGATAGGTACTGTAAATCTGGGAGAAAATGTGCCTTTTCTGCCTACCCCCGGGAGTGAACCCGGCCACAAGGAGTTCGTCACCCGGGCACCGCGCAGTCCGGTTTAGCAAACTACGCTAGAGAGCCGGGCGTATATATTGATATTAACTGCGATGCCGACTTTGCCCTTCCCCGTCGTATTTGGCTGAGATATCGCGGATATTGCCAAGTCAAGCCTTATCTTGATCTCGTTGGTATAACTGCCATCGTAACATATTCTGCAACTGACATACGCATTTATAAAGGCCGCCCACCTATGATCTGACTTGAGCATAAGAAATTGATTACAGGGAAGCTGTCTGCCACAGAGAACCACACTGAAACGTTACAACGGGTATAAAGCGAGCGAAAGACCTCGGAAAATGGAGTGATGGCATTAAGAACAATCTTACAGAAGTGAACATCAATCTTAATAGTGCTCTTGACAGAGCTCGTCAACAAACGTTACACCTCCCCGTGACACTTCACTGAGGTACAATGTGGAAAAAAAGTAGAAGGAAATTTGCATAGTGATCTATTATCCATTGTTTTGTATTATGTCCCTTTCAAGCACTTCTCTAAGAAATGAAGAATAGTTATGGTCCACAAGGTAGTAAAACTATTAAAGCCCCCGTCTGCTGTAGTTAAGTACAGCAATATGTAATTTTTATTTAACACAAGTTCTGTGTTTTCGCTTTGGTTTGAAGTAACACGAAAGGAATTTTTCTTTTTCAAGACCAAGCTACACCTACATCATGAGCTGGTAATATATACTTTTTCTTTGTTACGACATTAATTATGTACTTGATTTCATGAACGAAACTAAACACTGGCCCTTCTAAAGTTCTATCACTGATGAACACTTCAACTTCAGTTCTATTGTCATATTAATATTATTATAATGATATTAGTTGAACATTAAACTTTAAATTGAAAACTTAGTTAATATTTAAATAATATAAACTGACGAGTCTGCATCGACAAATTTTAATCAGCAAACGAAACAGAGAATACAGACAGTAACACGTCATTTATGTTATAAATAATCACACAGAATGTAGTGAGAGACTGTTTTGCTTTTAAGCAGCAACTACCTCACCTATTTATATCTGTATGTTTTACTTGAAATAATACTATGTGTGGGTCAGAAAGAGCTAAAACGATAACACTGAGAGACAGAAGTGTTGAAACTGACAATCTTAATGCCGTTAGGTCATCTAAAAAAAAAATGGTCTGTCTTCCGAATAACGGTCCCAAATTATGGAGGCTTAAAATATACCCTAACAGAGCCTCACTGATGTGTCAGTTGTGGAGTTCTCCTCCGAACTTCTACCTGATATTATGGCGGCCAAACAAATACCCTAGCAGGGCCTCAGTCCTAAGCAAAATGCGTAGTTCCTGCCGAGGAACAAATCGCTGCAAAACTAGGATCGGTTCAGAATAATGAAACAAATGCCACTGTATCCCCCACGCCGCTACTCGCGGCACAGATAGGGGGCTTAACTAGATGGCTGGGACTCATGAGCAGCATCTACTGCATCTCCTGCAACTTCCTCCAATTTATTTGCTCGTGAGTCCCAGGCATCTAGTTTAGATTCCCATCTGTGCCATGCATAGCGGCGCGGAGGATACGCTCTGCGGTGAGTTTAATCGGAAGAACACTATCGCTAATCTGTGTCGGGGCGCGTGGTCTCCCCGCCATCTTCATATTATCATCTGTAATGTGCTCGAAATTGTCAATGGTCGCTATTGTGGTCTGCTACTATCGTCTGCAGTGTTGCGTGTTGTGACATTGTCAAGTAATCCTAGTTTTGCCGTGATGTGTTCGTCGCTGGAAGTCTGCATTTTTCACACGACTGAGGCCCTGTTATGGGGTAGAAGTTTGAAGGAGAGCTGAAAAGTGTAATAAAGAAAGCAGATTATACTGTGACTTTCTAGACTATGGAAAGGTTAACTTAGTGATTAGAAATACTGAACGGATAAAATTAAGATAGGTGTCACCAGAGCTTTTTTTTTCTGGTAGTATGCAGCGGTACACAGTACCGGCACTTTTACTTGATGCGAGATCACAGCAGCTAGGTCTGAAAATCCATAAAGGAACTGATAGAGATATTAAAATTAAAATACAAAAGGCAAGATGAGCTTTCATAGCACTAGGGAATTTGTGGAGGCCAAAATAAATTAAAAGAAATACTAAACTTGAAATTGTTAATTCTGATGTCAAATCAGTACTTTTGTATGGGGCGAAAACATGGAGAACAACGAAGGCAATTACTAATAAATTACAGACATTCATTAACTGGTGCCTGTGCAGAATAGAGGTAATTAAATGGTATGATAGAATAACTAATGTAGAGCTTTGGTATAGAACTAAGCAAGCTCCAGTGGACCAAGAGGTGAGGAAAAGACGCTGGCGGATAGGACACATATTGAGAAAACAGGAGAACAGCATAACTAGAATGTCTTTGCATTGGAACCCACAGGGGCATAGGAATAAAGGAAGGCCAAAAAACACATGGAGAAGAGAGCTGGAGAATGAAGTTAGAAAGATGGGGAGGATGTGGAGAGAGCTCCATGTAATAGCGAAGGATAGAACAACTTGGCGTGAGTTGGTTGAGGGCCTATGCTCCATTGGCGGATAGAGAGGCAAAAAAAGAGTATGCAGCGGTACACGGTGCTGGCACCTTTTTAAGGCATTCTTTTTTTTTTTCAGTGTCGCTGTAATATACACTTGGTGGTGAGTGCTGCCACCTGTTATTAGATACTGTATGGTGAGCACAGGTACTTATTTTTTCTAAAAGAAAAAACCCCTGGGTGTCACATATAAAGGCCCATGCTGAAACCCTTCTAAAACACTTCCACCAGCATTGGTGCAAATACTCTTAAGATTTATTTGGCAGTAAACAAGAATAAAAGAAGATACTTCAAAAGAAGCCAAATCAGGAAAAGAATAGGTTTTTTTTTTTTAATCAACAGTAGACGATTCACATTCTGTGAATATAAAAGACTGGGTAAACTAGAGAATGCCACGACAGAATAAAAGTTACAAAGGAAAAGTGGCTGAGAATGAACTGGAGATAAAAGTGCTAGACAGTGTATGAATAATAATGCAAGACATAATACTTGCCTAAACGTATTACACATCCACAGGCACGTCAAAGACTTGCACAAAACAAGCTTAGCGTAAAGTGTTCTACAGTCAGTAACTCAAAGATACCACTATCATCTGTACAGATGGTTACAAACTATTTAACACCATGTCTGTACCAGGCTACACATCACCTTCAAAATTCCTAGTATACTAAGCATATTTATAGGTTTTTTTTAAACTGTATATTTCCCTGAGCTTTATCACAATAATCATAATAATAATCAAAAATAATGAGACTTGTAAGATTGATTTTTTTGCATATTTCAGATGCATTTATATTATATCTTTGTTGCCTCTTTTGAACTTTTACTCTGTCGCCTCCAAAAGGGCCAATTCTGTCACATGCTATAGTGGCCTTTTTTACAGTACATAGGGCTAACAGAACTGGTATCGTTTTTGACATATTCAGTGACAGGTGAATTGGAATTGTTTATTATATTTACTATAAATGTAATATTGGGGGAGGGGGGAGTCCCTTGTGGGCATAGGGCTTCTAAAATAGAAATTCTGATGTCATTGTTTTTTTTCAATTAGCCATAGGGTTACCAAATAACTGGGTTACAGGGTCACATAAATGTCAAGCTGCTAATTTTGTTTTAATTTAGGAAGACATAATCCAGTTGTTAATTATCTGCTGCACTTGTTTTTATTGAATACTCTGCTTCATCTGTATGAATTTTTGGGGATGGGGCTCATGAAATACATGACTAAAAGGAATTTTGGCAATGTTTTTTGTTGTTGCTAGGTCACCTGAGTGAAAGGGCTCAAAGCGATGAAAAAGTAAAGGACCCATTTCCACACTTGTAGGCATATTGGGTATATAGTGCTGGACCTATACTTTATAGACCAATCAGCACTTGGTAAGAGATGTATAAATGAAATAATATATGAATGATGTGCAATAAGAAAGGCAGGAAGTTAGGTGCCATACATGCCCAACTCGTAACCATTGTAAAATAAAGTTATGTGTTCTTCAGTCAGCATGAAATAGTATTTGTATGAGTAATTATCTCCATACTAATTTGGAAACAGTATCCTTTCATTGATGAAGACTGAACTCAGATTCCAAATATGGGTTCCAATGCCTCATTTTAGGGGAAAAAAATAGAATAGACCCACCGCCTTATTAACAAGCATGTTGTACGAGGTGACTTTTTAAGAGAGTGTTCTTTTAAGTTGGAGTACATCTGCCTGAGAGACAAGTAACAACAGTCTACATACTAATAAGAAGAGCTGTACCGAATATTCGATTTGTACTCGCTACGGGCCGAATAGTGGACCTAGTAACTATTCGGTATTCGGCCGAATAGTTGTGGTCGAGCTGAATGCAAATAGTGGTTATCTTACACCCGTATCTGGACTGGTGGAAAATGAACATATCAAGATTTCCCACCTTGGTTCATACTGTCAAGCGTTACTTTGTGCACCACCTACGAGCGTACCAAGTGAACGACTGTTTAACACAACTGGAAATACCTTCAATGAGACAAGAAGCTGCGTTAATGCTGACAACATGGAACGATTGTGTTTGTGTTTTTGTGTGTGTGTGAAAGCTAATGCTTTTTTGCTTGTTACACACATCCAGTTTTAACATATGGCTGTGAGTCCTGGACAATCTCTTGAGGCCTCATAGATGTGGTTTTACAGAATAATGCTTAAAATACCTTGGACAGCCAGAAAAAAGCAACCAAGAGGTTTTAAAAGAGGCGGGAGCCTGAAGACAACTACTCACAGACATCAGAAGGAGACAGTCATAATTTTTCGGCCATGTTATAGGATGAGGGAAAATGGAACATGTGGTGACCATTGGAAAAATCTGTGGAAGGAGGGATAGAGGAAGACAACGAGAGAAGATTCTTAACAGTCTTGTTGCATGGCATGGAGGTGTGTCAGCACACGATCTAAAACATGCTGCAGGAGATCACAGATTGCGGAAAGGCATAATTGCCCATGCCAGTCGGCAAAGCACCTGATGATGATGATTCACTATTCGTATTCGTATTCGGCTGAATAGTTGGTCCGGCTATTCGTATTCGGCCAAATAGTGAAAATCACTATTCGGTACAGCCCTACTAATAAGCCAGATCTGTGGAACAGATGTGCACACAAAACATGACCAAAGTCCAGACGAACAACCATAATTTTCTACCACAGTTTACAGGCAGTGAACACGAAGAAGAAGAAGAACTCAGTTTGGTCAGCAAGTACACACAAGATTATAGCACATTGTTTACTTCTAAATAACTTTGTTTTATTCATCCAGGAATCCTTTCAGTCGATCTACACCCACTGCTCCTAAAAAGGCTGTTGTAACTAGAACTGTAAGTACACAGTACACTTTGCATGAAGTAAACAAAAGTGTCTTTTGACAACATCAGTCAAGTTTCTTGTAGTAGAATGTAAATTATTTTATTTTTACAATGTGTAAATTAATATCTAGGAATCCTTTCAGCCGATCTACACCCACTGTGAGGAGCAGCTGGCGGAGCAGTAGCAGTGTTGGGCTGTCATGCCGGAGACCCGGGTTTGATCCCCGGAAAGATGATAAAGTGTTTCTGTCAGAGGCAGAAATAAACATCCTGCATCATCCATGGAGACAACACTAGCCATGCGGCCTTAAATCCTCAGGCTTACAATCTCTTTTTCTACACTGCCCTAACAAGTGGTTAACACAAACAGTAGTGAGAGTGCTTTTTCTTTTTATTTAAATTTGTTTAACTCTGCTGTACCTACATCTATAAATAAACAGTATGCCATACGTGAGTTACATTATGTGAAGTAAACAGTATTTTCCTAGGGGGCTGCCTGGTCTCGAGGCCTGGCGTCCACCTCCAGTGCTGGAGTCCCGGGTTCAGGCCCAGGTGAGGGCTGGGAATTTTTTTTACGCGGACTTCTAGTAATTTCCCCTTGGTCTCTGGGTAGTGAGATCGGACGCCCATGTGTATTGTTGCGCACGTAAAAAATCCCTTTGCAGTTGGAAATCGAAAACGGCGCTGCGGAGGCAAAAATTGGAGTTAAAAATCTACCTAAAGTATTTTAGGATCCTTGCTGGTGCAATGGAGTTCGTGCATTGCGCTGACATGCTTCAGACTCAGGCTTGAGTTAGAAGTAGAATGGAGCACTTATGGGTTACACCCGTGCGTCCTGATGTTGATCCGTCATCTAAACAAACCAAACAGCATTGTCCTTTGATAATATTATTTAAGTTTCATGTGGTCAAATGTCAGTTATTTGCTTGTTGTAGCCAGATCCGATAATCTTTATTTAATAGTATTGTAACTGATATGAAAAAATTTTCTTTACTATCTCTTCAGTAGTTAAGAGATTGTGCATTTCTCACTTTTCCTATTCTATAGTTGGTGTGAATTTCATTGCTCATGTGGTAACTCTGAAGTCTTGTCTCTTGAACTGTGCGTCTTGTCCATGTTGTGCATTGTTAGGCTGGTAGCCGCACATTATGCTGTAGACTCATTTTCTAAGTGAGGTCATAGGTTTTGCTGGTATACATTTCTAAGTAAGCTTTCATTTTCTCCCAGAGTGATGCCACTAATTTTCCCTCACTGAGACAAGTTTTCTTCCAACTGTTATATCGGTTTTCTTCACATAGTATTGCCTAGTAATTACACTTGATGGTAAACTGATGCATGACAAGCTAGATGTTATCATGACTTTGGGGGCAAGTAAACATTGCTGAGGAACAAATAGATCAACAGGGTCTGAAGAGAATGCTGTAGTGAGGAGTGAGCAGGGGATCAGGCCGGCACTCAACACCCATGGGAAGGGTGAGACAGACATACAATCAGACTGTTACTGATGCCATCAGAACTGGAACTCTGCGCTTACTGCTGAAGATAGGGATGGAGCACTTATAGGAATGCCCCGAGTACTGTGATGTCGGTTGTTGACTCATAACTGCTTGTTATTCTAGTTTTTAATGTTACTGGCAAGCTGGTTAATTATTTTCTGTTCATGTTGTAACCTTGATGTTTTTTTGTTTTTGTTTTGGTGTGGGCCAGTATCCTGTTTAGCAGAGAGTTAAAAAATTGCAATCTTTTTCTTAACTATCTACCACTAGAACTGAACCCTGGTAGACATTGAAAATTTAATTGTGAAACCAATTCACTAACCTCTAAGATACAGAGTTTCCTACTGATGTTGTTAAGACCATTTATTTGTCATATTGACTAGGACAGTTTTTCCCAAACTTTTCTTGGTTGCAGCGCCCTTTTTTTATTAAAATTTTCCACGGCGCCCTGATCTAAGTAAAAGTATGACTATTCGTGTCTTAGTTAAATTAATCATGAAGCTTTTACAATATTTTGCGTCGCCCCTGTGCAGAGGTGGCGACTCACCATGATGCCGCGGCACACAGATTTGGAATCATTGGGCTAGGATATCTGCAACATGCTGAATGCTTTCCACATGTTTCTTGTTTGCAGTTACATAATTAAAGACCAGGTGAAGGCAGTTCCTGAGGATATGGCCAAGGCTCATTGTAGGTGCTGCAAGAGCGAAATTAAACCAGAATTGCCAGACTTGAAGAGTCATGCAGAGACTTAAACTTATAAAGCTACAGTGCCATTCAGGGATATTACACCACTGACATCTGTTTTTAGAACTGAAAAGATTAATTAATCACTGCAGGGAGCTATTTGGATCCTAGGCCATACCTTGGAGACCAAATCAGATTTAAAAAAATTTTTAAATCACCAGGACTATTAACAGAAAATTAAGAGAACAACTTAAAATAGGGATGTCAAGATTTTCTTGCCTCATTATTCAAGCAGCTGAAGCAGAGAATTCCTGAAAATTTAGAAGTTTTGAAAAATATTTTACTCTTTTCTGTTAACAACATAATCCAGCTAGTAAAAGACATACCTGAATATTGTAAAGGTATGAAATTCTAGCGGCTACTGGAATCAGTGTGGCAGAATGGAATATCAGTTAAGGAAAAAATGTGACTTTTAAGGAGGTTGCAACTGGTGCTATTAGCATGTCAACTTCATTGCCTACTGAAGAATGGAAGATGTGGGAATGTCCCGAGTGCAGTGATGTCAATTCTTGATTCATTTTTGTATTTCTTTCTATGTAATTTCTTACTTTTTTTTTTCATCTGGATGTTTGTTTGGATGTTTCACCTGTACAATCTTGACATTCCTGGATATTGCTTGTTTTGTTTCTAGATTTTTTTCTTTCAAAGACACCTGGCAACTATGCCTGTGCTGTCTGGCTAGGCTCGTGATGATAATGATGATGATGTAAATAAGCTGTATTTATTTGTCAAAATGTTACCATTTTCACGGTAAAGAATCACTAATTTAGAGCTTGGAAAAGAACTCAGGGCTTTTTTTCCTGGCTGTACGCAACTCTAGCAGTACCAGCACCTTTTTGGGGGAAAGGGGTCGAGGGGAGGGGAGGTTAAACAAATTCTAGTCCTTTTGTAATAGACACTTTTGGTGAGTACCGGTGCATTTTTAGACGCTATGTAATGAGTGATGGCACCTTTTTTTTTGAAGGAAAAACTGAGAGAACTACCAACAACAACAACAAATTCCATTGCATTAAGAGATGAGGAAAAGACGGGGTTGGATAGGACACATTGAGAAAACCTTATAAAAGTATAACTGAAATGTCCTTGCACTGGAACCCACAAGGACAAAGGAATAAAGGAAACAAAAAAGATGGGGAAGATGTGGCGATAGCAAACGATGTGACAGCTTGGCGTGAGTTAGTCGAGGGCTTATGCTCCATTGGAAGATAAACGACAGAAGAAGAAATAAACCATTATGTATAAGATAACTGCCCACTGATTGTGTCTTTCAATGGTTTGAATCAATTTTTCAGGCTCAGAGAGACTTTGAGAAAGAAGTAAAACGACTAGATGAGTAAGTATTGTATAAATATATGTGTAAAATACAAATATTGTATTCCTATATTGGTAATATTAGTAACATAAATGTGTCCATTTTATGTTACCTTTCGAAATAAAATCACTCTAACACTGTCATTCCCATGTGGGATGCAATTTTTCATTATTTGAAGCTCCACCCTGGCTCATGCCAGGGGCCGCAATATAGCCCGGCCATAAATTTGGTCTAATGGCTGAACAGGGTTTCTGTGACCTTTCCATGAGTGATCCTCATCCGCATGGTGGCACTTTGTGTCACCAGGTGTCTATCGCTTTGTGTGTTGTCCTGGTGGGGTACAACTTACATACATACATAATATCACTACTTCATTGTTCTCTTTCTTTTGGGGGGGGGGGGCATTTATCAAAATCTATATCTGCAATAATAAAACAATCAACTGTCATCATCATCATACACCGTATTGCTATGCATTGGCAGTCAAGATTGTCTATCTCACTTGATCACCAGAATCAAAGATTAGGTCTTGTTCTTGTCCTACCAATACCATGAGGACAAGCTCCCCCTGTGGGTTTCAGGGGCCCCACTGTGAAGGAAAACAAGAATATACCCACTGCCTCCATAATAAGCATGTCATAAGAGTTGACTAATTGGGGATTTCCTTCAAATTTGAAGTGCATTTGCCAGAGAAACAAGGAATCAACAGTCTACATACAAATAAGTCAGATCTGTAAAACTGATGTGCGCACAACACTCAGGTTCTGGAAAAGGTCTCAAATCCAGAGGTGGATGAACTACCAGAACTTTCCACAAGAGTTTACAGCCGGTGAACACAAAGAAAAAGAAGATGTTATCAAGCTCTCTAGGTATTTAACACTGTTTTCTCCCCCTTTGCTCTTTTTCTGTCATGTTTGTCTGTTGTCACAATGTAGTTTACTTTATTCTTCCTCACAATGTGCCCCAAAATATTGTGACTATGTATGCCTGATTTGTCTAATCAGTTCACTTTCACCTGTCTTTTTGAGAAATGCCTAATTTTGTTCTGTCAGCCCATAATATTAACTATAACAACAAACAGAAAAGATGGTTGAGCATAATCTGTGTCTTCATGTTTCATATATCAGTCACGAAAATGATTGTGATCGTATCAGTGGGCCACAGCTGGGGAAAACATTTCACTGTGAAGTTAATTATCACCTGATCATCTGAGCCAGAAGCTTTCAGAGTATCAGTCATTGCACAAATAGAATTAGTACAGTACTTTTATGCCCCATCCTTTCTGAAGTACTGTATTTAGTGTTGCCTCTGCATTGGTTGTTGTATATGACATTTACAGAATGTGAAAATTGGTTCTGTAGAGGTACATTGGTTAGTATGGGAACTGCGGTAAGGTAATGGCTAAACACTTGCCTGCCAGCAGTAAGGTCTTACATTCGAAACTGCATTGTGGTGGATTTGTTTCAGAAAGGACCTTAGACCCATAAAAAGGAATTTTACTCAGATGTGACAGAAAGAAAGCATAAAGGTTGTCTCTGCTGTCTGAGTAGCTTTGACTAATTCTATTTGTACAGTTTTTTACATTTCTTTGAGAATGTAGGATGGAAAGAAAAAAATAGTGTTGGATATTGTTCTTTTTTTTTTTACTGTGGCTGTAACAAGACATCCTCACTGATCAACGCAAGAGATAAAGAGTTGAGTCAAGTTGATTCAAGAATCGACATGACAGTACTCTGGGCATTCCCATAAGCACTCTGTCCCCATCTTCAGCAGTCAGCGCATAGATCCAATACCAGTGGTGCTAGCAGCATTCTGATAACACGTCTGTCTTGCCTTTCCTCTGACCACCAATATTGGCCAAATCCCCTCATCACAGATAAGAGATAAAAAGATGTAAGCACCAAATATTATGAGATACATATCAGCTGATACCATAAGTGAATCTAAAATACAAAATAAAACATGTACCTGTGATTTTTACTATTTGTTTTATTTTCAACGAATGCAGGCTAGAAGAACTGACGAGACGATTTTATAAAAATGTGAAAAGATTGACGGAGGCTAACAGTGGTGAGTTTCTGACTTTCTATAATGTATTGCTGAGTTATGTTAGATCATTTGCCAGCATGAATTATCTTACTGCAAGCATATCCACGTCCAGACATGAACAATCCCTTATGCTATAACAATAACAGTTGCAGGAGGCATGTACATCTTGTGAATATATAGGAAATTTGCAACAGAGCCTTGAAGGTTCAAAAACTATTCCTTGTCCAGCAGCCAGTTACCCACTCAGAACACCAAGTTACCTGGTTATCGCTTGGTGCAATCATTATTGGTTATGTAACTTTTTAGAAAGTTGCACTTGTGGTATCAGTGACTGCCGATAATTTTTGATTTATATTTTTAAGTATGAAAAACCCTCTTTAATTTCACTGATGAAGGATGGCACATTTTCTTTTTAAACAACAGATTCATGATTCCTGAATGAAGTATGGGTACAAAAAGTAACTTTATGTATTTGAGGGTCATGAGTAAATTTATGGCTACCACATTCACATGCCATATTGTGTTACATTAACACAATCCATGTCACTGCACATTGGGCATTCCCATGCATGCTCAGTCCTCAGATGCATCAGCAATTCCAGTTTACCACTACTGATTGTTCCCATGAGGAGTTGGTTATAACATCTCCAATCTCAACCCTGAAGGTGGCACAGATGTCCTTCACCATGCTTTACTCCCAGGTCACGCAGTAATGTTAATGTCAGAGATTTACATTCTAGAGGTAATTTGTTCAAACTGCCTATGAGGCAGCAATTTGACATGGCCTCCCTAATTATCACCATAGTTCCATAATACAATGTGCCAATGGGTTATAGTTGTTAGTCAGATTCTGAATCCATGTCTTTCTTGGTCTGCCTCTTCTCTTCCCCTCTACTGAGCCCTGTAGTCTCATTTTGGAGAGACCAGTAGATATCGTTACATGTCCGTACCAAATGGGCTAGCTCCCAGGTTAACCCAACCTAAAGTGGGTACTAGATTTTGTGAGAAGTAAACGGTTAAAGCCTTTTCCCTATCAAGCAGCCCATTATCCACCTAGGTACCTGGGTATCACTTGATGTAGCCATTATTGATGCCCAAAAAATTCAATATTGGCATCACCCATCGATTGTTGATTTTGAAAAAAAATAATAGGGCTATATATGGGAATCGAATACCTAGTCAGTGTCTTTAGCCTAAAGTTAATTAATGCAGTATCATAATTCTGATATACTGGGTTTTGATTTTTCTGCAAGCTGTTTGGCAGCATTGTTTTTCATTTATTTTATCGATTGTGTAAGTGTCAAACCATTCAGAGAGCAATGGCAAACTACTGAACATAGAAAATACCTAGTAAAACCACAAGCAGCCAACAAATACCGGGGTTTGTTTGCAACATCCTGTAATGGATATGTAAGTCACAGCCATACACCTAATTTATTTTAAGACTTTAAGAAGGGTCACTTTTTACACAAGTAAATCATACTCAGCAACCCAAGAATACTCACTCGTGTTTCTTATCTGATTAAAACCAAAATAGCATTAGCTAAAGCAGAGCGAAAGATTGCACAGGACTTGCTCTCCACCAATCTTTGCCAGACGGAAGAAATATTTCAACACCAGATTGAGGAATGGGACAAGGCTATGATTAAAATGGACACACACATGGCAGAAAGGGTCAGTACTGTGGTTTAAATGTGAGCTAACTACTGCCTGCTGTATTTGTTTCGCTTGTTCTTTGTTTGTTAAGCCTGTTACCTTGAGAAGCTGCAGACCCAGCACTTCCAGTTTATGCTGTTGCCCGCATCAGAGCTGCTTCCCCGGCTCTCTTTGTGGTTTTGTTTACAAGAATCATAGCTTACAGAAACCATTTCTTTTGTGCCTGCACACACTTTTAGTATGACTGGCAATGGATGCATTTCCTAAAAAAATAGCGTTGAGAGGTTTCCTTGTTAAAAAAAAAAAAAATTTATAGTTCAAAACTATGATGTCATATTTCCCTCATTAATCATAAAGTTACTGGGTGACTGGGTCAAGTAGTTGTCACACTATAATTTTTTTTCAAGGCCCAGAGAGACCAAAGCCAGTTAATTATCTGCTGCACATGTTTTTGATTACTCCCCTTCATCTGTATGGTATTTGTTTTTTAGGTCCATAAATTGTTTGTCTGCGAGTTTTCTTGTAACCTGCAAATACAAATTTTTGTTTTAGGGGAAAACTGGGGGGGGGGGGGGGGTGTGTGTGTGTGTGTGTGTCCCAGAATAATTAAATTCTAAGATCTTGTCAACGGTTTTGCTAGGTCACCAGGGTGGAATGGTTAATTGCCTTTTATCAGAACTACATCCAGTAGTTTTTCTCATTTGTCTTCAGTGTTCCAATCATAGATGCTCCTAAAGTTAGTGTATCAGCTCTATTGTTTCTGCACATCCTTGTATGACCAAATCAACATGTCCATTCAGGTTTCTGAAGATCTGAGGCTGTCACAAGTGACCGCCACTCATTCCACAGCTATCCATTCTGAACTTTCTGAATCAGTGAATGAGAGTCAGAAATGATACTAACTTTTGTGTAAAGTTTTAGCAACCATGTTATTACCACAGTAGCAGCATTCATCTCCATTATTTTGTGGAGAGTCACTTAGTTTCTTCTGCTAGTGAATGATAACCCAAATTTTCAAAGGCTAAAAGGTGATGATAAAGAAATATGGCAAGTTTCTCTTTTAACAAAAATATTTTTTCGTCCATTTTGAATACATAGTTTGAGTCTAATCTGCTTAACAACACACTGTCGTATCAGACAGACAAGGGTAACAATAAGGAAAAGAACAGCATGGTGGAATGATAACATAAAACAAACAGTAAAAATTAAAAATGAGAAATACAAGAAATGGCTACGATCCCACTCACATGGCGACTATATCATATATTGAGTAGCAAGGCGACAATCTGTAAGAGAAATCAAACAAGCCAAGGAAACATCCTGGATCATGTATGGGTTAAATCTGACTAAACTTTGTACTAATTCTAGCAGACAGTTTTACAAAACCATTGCAAAAATGAGAACCAGAATATGTCAGTGACAGTCAAGGAAGACCCATACATGAAGAGGCTAAGATCAGAGAAAGATAGAAAGAATATTTCCAAACTCTTCTGAAGGTTACAAAAAATGTAAGAACAGTACCATTCACACGCAGATATACACACAAGGAACAGTCTGGAGTAACTGAACAAGAAAGAGAAGCAATCAGGTGCAGTCCAAAAAATATGGCTGCTGGTGTTGATAGAATTACAGCTGAGGCTATACAGGCCTGTGGAGAAACTGGAGTCACCTGGCTACTCCATATATTTAGGAAAGCCTGGAATGAAAGAACTGTACCAATAGACTGGCAAAGAACCATTATAGTACCAATATGGAAAAGAAAAGGCAAAAAGCAAGATTGCAACAGTTATAGAGGCATCCCCCTTTTAAGCCACATAGGTAAAATGTTTGCCAAGATTCTGGAACAATGAATTAGATCTGTTGTAGAACTGATTTTGAGCCCAGCAGGAAAGGAAGAGGGTGTACTGAGGCAAATTAGCGAAAAGACAATAGAACAGACACCAAATGAATATCGCATTTATAGATCAAGAAAAGGCTTTTGACAGAGTGAACAGAGATTTACTATGGGATGCCCTTGAAAACTGGTATAAATGGATCAATACTAGATTGTGTAAGAGCTATTTATAGAGAAAGTGAAAGCGCCGTCAGAACAAGAGCTGGTCTCACAGATTGGTTCCCAGTAACATTAGGAGTAAGGCAAGGGTGTGTTCGTTCACCTTTACTTTTTAAATAATCATAGACAATATTAATAAAATAGACATAACACCACCAGATGGTCGTTAAACGGAAGGACTTCAATGAGCTGCTCTTTGCCGATGATCAGTGCATATTCCACAGTGAAAGTAAACAGCTGCAGGACCACATACACCAACTACCTGACAGTTGCCTTAAACATCACATGAAGATCAACATTGAAAAAACAGAAGTAATGAGAATAATTAGAGTGCAACAAACCATCAGCATAAAGATCAAAGATCAAAGTCTGTAACAAGTGCAAGAATTCAAATACTTGGGAAGCATCTTTACACACAATAGTAAAATAGAGAGATAGAAATGGGAATCCAACAAGCCAACAATGTCACATACTTGCTCCAGTTTAAAACACCCTGATATCCCAAGAGAGACAAAAAGATACAATACAATAAATACAATATTGATACCGACTTTATGTTACCAATGTCAGACTTGGTCATTGACAAAAGAACACAAAAGAAAACTAACTACCTGTAAGATGAGATGTTTGAGAATGGCTGTGAATAAAACCAGAAGAGATCGAATGAGAAATGACATGTTCACAAGAACTGTTGGAATAACACCCATCGTCAAATTAATTGAGAAAGAAAGAGTGAAATGATTTGGCCATCTAATGAGAATAAAACCAATGATGCCAGCAGCAAAAGCGTACAACCTGAAAATCAAAACATCAAGAGGCAGGAGAAGACTGAGAAGAAGATGAATTTAAGGAGTCACTGACACCTTGAGACTGCATAACATCACAGCATATCAAGAGACTGAGCCCGCCTTAGCTCGGCTGCTGATCATCTGATTAACTGCAACGCCTAGCATCAAAAGCAGATATTGACAAAAGAAAAGAAGAAAACTGTGTCTGTTAAACTGAGTTATTGATTCAAACCACTGAAAAACATTAGGATTAAAGCACTCCAGTGAATTAAATGCTGTGAAAAGTCAAAGGTCAGTGAAGCATAATTTTGTGGCTTTTACAAAACTAAAATATCTCCCTAAATAATTATTTTTGCCTCTACAATTTTTATTTCAGAATATTGTATTACAAAGAGCAGTTGTGGATCCTTTGAAAAAGTGAGTAATTCTCTGGTTTTTTTTCTTTTTTTTTTTCAAATTTCTATTTGCTCTTAAAGTGTCTCTTATAGAGAATCTTAGCACATTGCCTGAACTTATTATTATTAAAGTGAAGGTCCATTGTCCACGCCTTTAGGCATATTGGAAAGATAGGGCTTCACCTATATTTTTATAGACCAATCAGCACTTCTTATTATTATTAGCACAGATAAAAATTGTGTGTCCATATTAAAAAAAAACACATTCAAAATATAATTTGATGGATATGATTTCTAATTTTGAAATTTAACTTAGGCAGGGATCGTTTGCTTTTTTGTTGTTGTTGCTTTTTGAAATTATTTTCAAATTAGTGGCCAAGGGATTTTAAATGTGTGATTATGGGCCATTCATGTTTTTTTTAATCCTTATTTGAAACAGATAGGTGTCTAATTAACTACAGGGGGTCATTGGATATTATTCAAACCATTTCTTATTTTGAACAAAATCTATCTGTGCAGGTGATGGAAAAAGCAGGTATATTTTCTTTTGCGTTCACCCTTTAAAGGCAGGTTGACTGTTTGTGTTGTGGTTTACAGCTAGGCTGCAATATCTGTACCTTTTGGCCCAACACATTTTAGAAAACCTTAATTAGTCCCCTTTTAGAACGTGCTTGTTAGGAGCTGGGGTCTGTTCTGTTTTCTGCAAAATGGGGCCCTGGAATCCACACGGGAAAAGCAGGTCTTGTTTTCCTTTACACATTAGGGTAGATGAGATCGGCGATTAAACAGTTTCAGGAACAGTAATTTTCTCACCACAACAAGATTAACCACTACTAACATTTACAAATGTAGCCATGAAGACAATCTTTTCCAGTAAAAGTGTTTCTTCTTCTTCTCCTTCTTTCGTTCGCCTGAAATAAATTATCTGTATCTGCTGTGCTGTCTCTAGTGTGAACTTCATTGTCTTTTGTAATTCCTTAGCGGCCTGTACAGTTTGGCTTCCACCAGTGTCTTTCTTGGCCAGACGTTTTGCATGAAAATTCTGTATTTGGGACAGTCTTAGAGGATTTGATTTATATGTGAACAGGGCACAATGGACTTCACAGCCGCGTGTACACAAAATATAAGATTGGCGAATCATCCATGTGCACATGAGGACTTGTTTCTGAGACAACAGAAAGTGTTTCTTTGTTAATAGTACATATTTTAGTTGGTGCCTTATCTTGTTTCCAGTTGATAGTATTATGTAGTACTGTAGGGTGGGGGCATGGAAATCACAGCACAGGTAAAAATCGCTCGCATTAGTGAAAGACTTCCACAGCTAGAGCATGGGATGGCAGGACCATATTTCTAATAAACTACAAACATTAACTGGTGCCTGCGCAGAATAGAGGTAATTAAATGGTATGATAGAATCACTAATGTAGAGCAGTGGGAGAAAACTAAACAAGTTCCAGTGGATCAAGAGGTGAAGAAAGGAAGATGGCGTTGGATAGGACACACGTTGAGAAAACCTGAGAACAATATAACTAGAATGTCTCTGCACTGGAACCCACAGGGGCATAGAAATAAAGGAAGACTAAAAAACACATAGAGAAAGGAGCTGGAGAGTGAAGTTAAAACGATGGGGAGGACATGGGAAGAGCTGCATGCGATAGTGAAGGACAGAACGACTTGGCGTGAGTTGGTTGGGAGCCTATGTTTCTTTGGGGGGCTAAAAAAGGGAGAACAAGAAAAAGATAGCAGGATCATTGTTGCAGTCACATGTATTTAACATGCTGCTGAGCTCATAACCAATTTACATTATTTTCTACTTTAATCTCTATTAACTAACTGTGTTTTTTACTGACTTATTGTAACTGCTGCTTCCATTGATGATGAACTACATTTCTAGTGCCAGACAGTTTGTGTTGGCACTTCTGACAGGTGTCTTATGCATTTAATACATGTGTATATTACTGGCTTTGCCGAGACTGCAGTCTGACTCAGTTATTTCACAAGGGACAGGGATAGGCATTCTGTGTTATTTTCGTTGGCCTAGGACTAGCTGTGGGGTGACCTGTTTGATGTGATGTTGGAACTGTGATTACCTGATTTGTTAACCATGCACATATTTGTTTGTTCCATTCAGATATGTCAGCATATTTCCATTCTCTCAGGTGGCAATAAAGAAACGGGAGCAGAGTTTACAGGTAATCGATGAGTTTGTAGGAACACACTTAATGTGTTGTTAGCATTGACCTGACTACTCAGAGAGTATTTTATATTGTTTGGTTTGATGTTTGCTTAGTAAAATTCTGAATGGTGAACAGTTATTGCAATTGCAAGTATGTCATCAGAGCTCATAAGGGGAAAAAAAGTAATACATTCAATGCCTTTTGTCTAAGATTGTTCTAAGGAGGGTTGAAATAAGATCAACTACCTCATTCTTCTCGTTCACCAGCTGTAAACTGTGCCAGAAAGTTCTGGTTGTTCATCAGCTTCTGGACTGCAGTCATGTTCCAGAACCTGAGTGTTGTGTGTGCATCCATTTTACAGATATGACTTATTTGTATGCAAACTGTTGGTTCATTGCCTCTCAGGCAGATGCACTCCTGACTTTAAAGGAAACTCCAAACTAGTTGACTCTTATGACATGCTTGTGAGTAGGCAACCAATCACAAATTAAGAACCGACAGCACTTGAGCATTCCTGTAAGCACTTTATCCCCATCTTCAGCAACCAATTCTGATGGTGCCTATAGCAGTCTAAGTGTGTGTCTGTCTTGCCTTTTCTTTGAGTGCCAGCCAGATCCCATAGACACTCCCCAGGGCACCATCCTCTTCGGACTGCGATGATCAATTTTTCTACACCATTCACTTTCGTCCCCAAGGAGTTTGACCATATCTAGCTTGTCGTGCATCAGTTTACCACCATGTGGTGCAGAACCAGCCAGTCTTTCTGCCTGTTCATTTCCCAACCAATCCTGACATGAATAGGTCTGCAAAGGGCTTGATTTGAGTTATTTGAGGGCCTCTGCTAACTTAGTCATGAAAAGCAAAGGAATTAGAAATAATAATTGGTCATTTTAAAAGATTCAGTTGTTAGATGAATTTGAGAAGCAAATCTACTACTATCGAGTCCATTAAATTCTATCTCTGAAAAGACAAATTTCGCTTCAGTTGACATGATCAGCTTTGTCCAGGCCAATTTACCACTGCATTAAAAAGTTCTGTTACATTGAATTGTGTTAACTCAAATATTTGGATTAGTTTAATCTAAAAATGGATGTTTGAGTCTGAATGTACATAACCATGTGGCCACTGTTTATAATATGCATTGAAAGAAGGGTGAGCTGCAGAAGAAATGAAACTGTTGCAACACATAGATGACAGCCACGCACAGGGTGGGAGCAGTAACCTGGCTTTATTTGTTTCTGGAAATCATGCTCATACTGCAGAAGGGCGGGGGTGTAACACTCAGGTACTGGAACAGGACTGCAGTCCAGAAGTTGATGAACAACCAGAACTTTCCACTGGAGTTTACAGCTGGTGAATGCGAAGAAGGAGATTAACAAGTACCTGGGGGCCAAAGTTGATTTTGAAAAGGAAATCTGCTTTGATGCAGATCTGGACAACAGACCTTTAGGCCAACAGATGAGCATCTAACTATCCAACCCTGGTTTCCCATCCTTTAGAAAACCAGCTGTACAATCTAACCAAACACTCTACAGAGGTTTGATGTGGTTGGGCTAACCTACTATGCTCCTTTGAGTAATCAAAGGCATAAGAAGAAGATGCAGGGACATTAATTCAACTCTTGCTTAAAGAGAGAAATAAACACTATGAAAAATTATGAGTACACAAATCTGAACGTGGCAACTGGGAATTCTAGATTTCTTTGGTATTCTGTAACCAAATGCAGAAGGTAACAGAATGTGTTGTGTTATGTTTGTGATCCATGAGAACAAGTTTATCACACATTATGTGCTGCCTGGGACCTCAAGAGTTGATTATAATGTATAATCTTGTATTAAATATAATGTTTGTAATGTTTAGGAGTTCCAGAAGTGCCAGGACAAGGTGAGCAAATATGAAAATGACAGAAGTGGTCAGAGTATTGTCAAAGCAAAACTGGTTAGTATCTTTGGGTTTTTTTTCTTTCTTTTAAATCTCTATTTCCACTCTGAAAAAGTCTTATAATACCATGGACTAAGAAGAAGATCAACCACATCATTCTGACATCCTACATGATTTGAGCATCAAGAACCATTGGCTCATAAACAGCATCCCATCCCAGTTGCTGAGATATTTTGCCCATGTTAATTGTCCTAGTGAGAAAGGTGATGGAGGGTAGTTTCCAGAAAATGATGCAGATGCATACCTCGCAGAAAGTAGAAACAAGACATTGAGGATGCTGTGAAAGGCCATAAGCGCCTGTGGGATTGACTGGAAAAAGAGAGACTTTTAGGTGTGCTGTGATGGGAGCAGTGTTCTGTAAAGGACCTGCCAATTGATGATGATGATTCTCCCCTCTAGGATTGCAGCCTGGGGGTTGACATCCACTGACTTAAAGAGCTGCTATTCAGATTTCAGTGTGGCAAAAAAAAAAAAAAAAATTCAACTTAATGAAAGCTAAATTAATTAAATTTTTTAGTAATGTACCTGAGAAGTGAAATATCCTAGGCAGTAAATTGTGCAAAGTATTGTTTGTGTCGGCATTACTGAAATATTTTGTAACCGGTTCATACATTCTTACATTAAGCTTATTTAACAGAGTATAGATTTGTTTGATTTTTTAAATTTAATAATGGCATCTAGCTTGTCATTTTACTAATTGTTTCGTACACTACTTTGGATTTTCTCTCTTTGTTAGGTTTGGTTTGTTGGGTATCCTTTACAGGACTTTGCAGAAGCAACCCCAACAGCGCCTGGCTGTTGTGTGGTTTTTCTAGGCAATTTACGTCCAGTAGTTTGCCATTGCTTTCTGGACGGTCGGCTTTCTTGATACCACTGTTAAAACCAACGCAAGGCGCATTGCCCCTAGCTGGGATCGAACCCGACATCTCGGCATTAGGAAGTGTTCTCATCTACTTAGCCACAGAGCCGACTCTCTCTGTATACTTTGTCTTATTGTCAGTATCTATTTGCATGGCCAAACCCACGGCCAGCTCCAGCAATAAGGTCAAACACGGAAATTCTGCATAATTCCTCATTTTGTTAGGCTGGTCATATACAAATTAAACTACAGTTTAATTAACTTGCAAAATTTTTTATTGAATATTTATTGTTATTATTATTCTACTTTGTAATGGTTCACTTGTCTTCATAATGATAATTTGTTCCGTAAATATGCTGCAAGTTAATTAAACTGTAGTTTGATTTTTGTATAGATTTACTCGATAACAATGGTGAGCACAGACTGGCCGTGGAACGGCCTAACAAAATGGAAATTTCTGTAGATCTGTTCGGCCTTACTGATGAGGCTGGCATGGCCCCACCATACTTAAAAGATACAAATGTTCTGATTATTTTATCACTTATTTTATTTTCAACAGACCAAAACAGCCTTGACTGCAGCACAGAACGATTTCACCAGCCAGAATGCAAGTTTGATGGAGGATATTCCTAAAATGATTGACAGCCGCACAGAGTACTTTCAGCCTTCCCTCGAAGCTGAAATTAAGTCACAGGTATGGTAAATTGTATAGTTCAGACGTAACATTTACAATGCAGACCTGATAAGGAGAACTCACTAGATCCCAAGAAATGGTTCTTCTTATCAAAAGCTCCTCTTATATGGTAAAGAATTCAAGCAAGAAAAATTGCAGATCAACAAAATTGCGCCACATCTGAGATCGCCTTAGTAGTCTGAACTGTATCGTGTCCATTTCCTATATAAGCCTTTTTTCTAAAGTTTTTGTATATTTAGGATCAGAACTTTATTGAGATATTTTTATTTAAACTTTGAAATAAACTCTAGTTTCTGGGTTTCTTATATAATATATATATTTTTTTTACTGCCAATTCAAGTGTACTGTTCGTTCATGTTTTTTCTGACTGTATGGTGTCCAGTTTGTAACCACCCTTTTTATGTTCCAAAAGAATGCCTTTTTGTTTTTCTGCTTAACATACAAGCTTTATATTTCCCTCTCTTTTTTGTTTCACCTTATGTTTTTGTCTTTAGTTGAAGAAGACAGTTTAGATCAGACATACATAGAAATTGCTTGCTTTGGCTCTATGTCCAGATAGTCAAAACTTAATAACAAATGTCTTGATGCCTGCCATTGGATTTGTTGACTAATAGGTGCAAGTATCTTAGCACTGATGCCCGGCTCTCTAGCGTAGTTGGCTAAACCGGATTGCGCGGTGACCGGGTGACGAACTCCTTGTCGTCCGGGTTCATTCCCGGGGGTAGGCAGAAAAGCCACGTTTCTCCCAGATTTACGGTATTTATCATGGAATCAAGGCGGAAAGGTTGCGATATCCATAATACCGAGCCTAAGGGTTAACAACTCATGGCTTCTGGATACTAAAACAAACATCTTAGCATAGATTAAACATGTGCAATGACCAGTATCTTATATTATATAAACAAATATAAGATTCCTCCAAGAATAATGACCAGAGCCTTTACTGGATAGGAAAAAACAAAGAAAGTATAAGATGCCCCTTTCTCATCTGTTCAGTAAGTTAAAAATTCTTACTAGCAAAACTTCCTTGTGACACGAAACAAATCACAGCAAACCACATACTGCAGATACAAGGCTCTGAAGGAAGCAACAAGAACATAATATGCCTACACACATGACCAATATTAATAACAGCCAAACTGTTCAGACATGTTTTGAATATTTCTGTGACAACACCCTAACTTACAGGTAAGTAACTTTTTGTGTATTTTCATTTGCAATTGTAACATAGTTTGTTTGTGTTGTATGCTTATGCAGGCTGTTTAGCCGCAGTGTTTATTTGTCATTCATGATTGTGATATTGGGAAACTGACTGACTAGCTCTACTTCTCAGTTAGAATACTATTTTTTTTGTAACAGAACGGGTAGCGTTTAGTGTCCTATGTTCTGCTGCATAAACCTTTTTTCAAATTTGCACTGTATCTTTTCTCAAACACAGGTACAGTACACAACTGAGGCTGTCAAAGTCTATGGGGAGCTGTCAAACCTGATGAACGGGCACCGAGAACATTCCAAACATGATTATGCCTCTCAGATCCAGCAAGCACTCAATGAGCTCAAAGCCCTGTCCATCACTGCTGACTAAATCAACTACAGTATATAATATTCTGTAACATGCTTCCATGCAAGCTGATGGACATGGAGTTAGTTATTACTGTGCCTGCTGATACATTTGATTTAGATAATGCGTATAAGTTTTTTAATTTAAACTACATTCTGCGGGACACATCATCGACTCTTGTGTTGATCTTCTGTATTTTGTTTGAAGATACTACATTCTTTCTTCTCCTCAACTTGGCAGCAGACAATCCCTTTAAAATGTGAAATTTTTTGGTTCTTACTTTCTGTCCAGTATCTAGATTAATGTATTGCTGAGTTACATAAATAATATATGATACTACTCGACCATCAACAATGAAGAGAAACCTGGCCTCAAGAGCAAAATGTGCAGAGCAGTCCCTGGGGAACCATGAAGTACCTGCAACAAACATGTGAATACATAGAGACAGCCCACCTAACGGTCTGACCTGAGCATGCAAACCAGAACACAAAGAAGAAGAAGTAGAAGGACCATTAGATTTAACATATGTCGTGGCAGATTTGATCATTTGTCCAGGAATTTCTTACATTGTCAACGCATTTTCCTGTAAATATGAAAAAGTTGCTGCTTACTTCTCACTATATTTTGTAACTGCATGCAAAAAAAAAAAACGGGACTATATCTGTATTTAGTGCTATAAATCGTCATAAATAAAAGTGTATCTAAGCTGATAAACAATGTGGGGATGAAGAAAACAGTTATATTTAAAGAAAAGTATATTAGCTTGTTCTAATAGGACAAGTAATCAAAGTATGCCAATTACACTTATCATTATCTAATGCGTGCCAGTTCAGCTGGTATGGTTGGTCATAATTCACATCTCACAATCAACAAAGCTGATCAATTTTTGTGCTGTTTTCTCCGCCATGAAAGGCTGAGAACCCTTCATCACTGGCACCACTATCCATGTTCATTTGTTATGATAATTGCCATTGTGTCTCTGGGCGGCTGTGCTGTTGACTGTCTCTCATGTTAATGAAAAGATGATTTTTTTATTTTGAATCTTCAACTGTTTTCAGCATTTTTTTGTAAAACCACACTTCTTTGGCTTCAAGAGATTTATTTTCTTACTTACTAAATATTCTTATTCTGTATTGTCCCTTAAACCAGTGGGTTAATCTCTTCCCTCCCCCCAAATGGTAACCTAGAGGCCACATGGGGAGTCCGGATGCGCAACAATATGTGGAACTGATTCTGTATAACATTTCAGAACTATTTTCTAACCTAAAATGACAAGAGGCCTAGAGCATAAGAAATTCATTTTATAAATAAACATTTCCCATCTGATATTATCAGTTTCATCATCATCATGTAGCAGATCGTCTCTCAACAGCTCTCCCTCCTCATGTACTTTCATATTCAATTTACTTACATCCTGTGCTCATCTTTGTTTTGGTCGGCCCCTGCCCCTCCTTATAGGTACAAAGCCTTCTGCTATTATTGTTTCCAATCCGCCATCGCACTTTAAGAAAATGTCAGCTTCCAAGATATGATGCTGTTTATTAGACAGTCCTCCTTTATGTTCAGATCTTTTGAAATATGAGTATTTCTTTTCTTTGTCCATGGCAATCTATCTAAAGCATTTCAGCTCAAAAGCCCCTATTCGCTTTTTTTACGTCTGGGAGATAGTCCATGACTCACATCTGTATGATGCTCTCTGAATTTTAAATTTCCTTGCTGGTACTTTTTATACTATTTAATCTTTACATTGCTATGGCCATCCTCCTTTTGATTTCAGTCTAATCGTCTCCATTGCTATTTATTATAGAGCCCAAAAATGAAAAGTTTGTGACATTTTCAATTGCTTCATTTATTGTGATTTTTGGGTGACAACTAGTTTTGTCTGTGGACATTATTTTCATTCTCTTTAAATTCAAGAATAGGTTTTGATCTTCACTATGTTTTTGGACAGACATGATAAAATTTTATATTCCCTTTACATTGTTTGAAAGGAGGACTGTGTCGTCTGCATAGTGAAGTTCTAAAAATGGGGTTGCCTCCAATTATGAGCGATTCATTACTGTCACAAGTCTGATCATTTTTGACATTTCTCATTTTGTTTTCTGCAAGTATATTGAATAGGTATGGTGAGAGATTGCACCCGTGCCTTACTCTGTATCTTGTGTCATGAAAAAATGTCAATAACTGTATTTTGAGGCAGGATCTGTATTTTTGATGTGACACCTTTTTTTTTTCTTATTATATATATATGGATGGCTACACTTGTTACTTTGACACATCATTTATCATAGTTCTGTATTTCTCCAGTTTATATTTTTTTTTTAAAGTAAAGGACCCTTTTCCACCCATTTAGGTGTATAGGGCATATAGGGCTAGACCTATATTTTATAGACCAACGGCACAAGATGGGTGATGTGGTCAGCATCACGCCGGCCGCCTCTACTTCCCGGGACTGCACCCGGTACTCACTCAAGGCTGGGTCGACCTGGGAGCCAAGGTCATTTTTGGGGGAAAAGTCCAGCTCCGCCAGGAAGTGAACCCACGACCTTCCGATCCGCGGCGTGCGTCCAGTTTGTATTAATCTAATTTTATAATGGTAGTACAGAGTGACCCATCAGTTTCCATACAAAGGAAAAGAAGCATATCACCAACGCCAGTACAAGCATAACTCCAGCTGTACTTATGCTTGTTCTGATATAAATACAAATAATTTTCAGATATATTACTTTTCTATGTATGGAAACTATTGTACACACTGTACAGTGGTTGGTACACGTGCTGCTGAGCTTGAAGGTCATGTGTTTGCATTCATTTCAAGGAAGGGATTTTTCTGCCCACTGTCCTGACCCAACCTAAAAAAAAGTACATTGTACCAGAAAATTTTGTGGAAAGTAAAGGTGGCTGGTTTAATATTAACCAGCTTGTTTATCACATGCCGACTGGTCTAAAAAAAACGTAGAGCTGGCACAATATTTCCAATATGGCCCATGCCATGAAAAGGGAGGGGCCTTTCACTACATAATCTGAAAGTGCAATGTTTTCCTCAGTTCGGCATTTATTTAAGTAATTTGTTGTAACATGCAAAATCTATATAGACAGACAGTACTTCTTGTCATATTTTTACTGGTAAGGTCTGTTGTAACACTCAACTCTTTTCATACCAATAAGGTGTTGGATTAACTATTTCTGTTCTAATACTCTGTTACTATGACAAATAAACATTTGGGTCAAAAGAGTTAACTAAGAAAATAATTGGGGCAGAGTTGGTGAGTGTAATAACTTCATGGGTAACAGAGAAGAAAAAAAAAAGTAGTGCAATGTATGAACAAGGAATTAGGTGTGGATCAGGCAAGGAGGGACGGTTGATAAGAGGGAGGTCATGGATGGCTCAGGCAGAAGACACAATCAGACAGGTTTGCATCCTTGAGAACATTAGACGAGGAGAGGAGTGGGTCAAAGTGCCACCTGAGCAGTCAGACTTGTGTAGAGTCATAATCACGCTGAGTGGAAATTCAGCAGTTAATTCAAGATAATGCTCATTCAGAGGATTTGATCATTTACACAGACGGTTCAGTATCAAGAGGCAAAAGAAGTGCTTGGGGCTTTTTAGCAAAAGTTAATGGTCGACGTTTAGTGCAGGATAGCCTAGCATATGATACCACAACATCCAGCTTGAGAATGGAGGTGGAGGCGGTCACTCCAGCATTCCGCTGGCTAGAGAAAACGACACACACACACACATTGTAATTGTAACTGATTCAGAAAGCATGCTTAGGAAGATCAGAACAGGTATGCTTCGTGCAGAGTGGCATGCTTCGCTGCGGAGGACACGAGTGAGGAGTATTGTCTGGATTTTGGCTGGCTCTGCACAACTTGGTGGAATACTGCTACATGATAGGGCAGACGTGGTTCGTGCCTTGTGGGAGAGAGTGTACAACGCGGAGGAGCAGATGGATCACCAGTTTGGTGAGATTGATGCAGTTGGGGGTGACGAGAGGTTCTGGCAGAAGCTCAAGGTTCAAAGGAAAGGCAAAACGGACGTTTAATCAGAAATCTACTGGCACCATTAGTATCGCAACTCTTCGCTGGCTGCTGAAGATGGGGACGGAGCGCTTATGGGAATGCCCCGAGTGCTGTGATGTCAGTTCTTGAATCAAATCAATCACTCAAATCAGGAGGGACGTATGAGAGGAAGAGAACGACGAGTTTATAATCTGTGTGCTACGGAACAGTTAGCATCTACACCAGGGCTATTCAATTGTGGCCCGCAGGCCAAATCTGGCCTACCTTAATAGCACGGTGTGCTGTGGTGTAAATTCTTTAATCAGTAAATCAGTAGTGCTGTGGTTAGACTGTCACTTAAGATCTAAGACTTGAATCCACGTCAAGCCTGTTTTGTTTTTTTGTTAAATATTAGACCTCAGCTTCCCGATCGACTCGGTTAAAAAAGGATAGAGGAAATGTCCTGTGAAGTAAAGTGGGTGGCTGGCACAATGCTGACCACATTGCCCATCAAGTTCCAGTTGGCCGAAAAAATTCTAAGACTAGCGACAATTTACCTGACACAAAACTAGGGACCTTACTTCTTAAAAATTAGATTTTTACTGCAGAAAGATATACAATTTTGACTTGGGCATTTGTAACAGAATTTGATTGCTATGGGCATATTAAAAATATATTTTAGTGTGGGTGCCCTAGTCATGGCATTAAAATTGCACATTTGGTGATGGGTATCAATGTATTTTGTTGTTTTGTCAGTGTGTGTGTGTGTGTGTGTGTGTGTGTGTGAGAGAGAGAGAGAGAGAGAGAGAGAGAGAGAGAGAGAGAGAGAGAGAGAGAGAGAGAGAGAGAGAGAGAGAGAGAGAGAGAGAGAGAGAGAGAGGGGGGGGGGGGGGGGGCGGGGGGGAGGGGAGCGAGTTGTTGTTGTTCACTCTTTTTTTTTTGTTTTTTTTTCTCACTGATAACCAGTTTGTAGCCCCGTGTTGTGGTTTTCTGTATTTGTCTTGCGCTTCTCGGGTGGTAGA